CGGGATAGTCACTGGGCGCGAGGCAGTGGTAAACCGAGGCGCAATCACCGTGCCACCACGCACTAGGTCGGCCGTACACGTATCAACAAACTCGTATCCTGAGGTAAAGTTCTGATTCAAATTTTCCGAACAATTCGGGCTCATAATCCGAAAAGTTCATAAACAGGGGCGAGGAAGGGGTTGAAACTGTGTTGCTTTGAAGGAGGGGGGGGGGGGAATACATTCAACACTCCCGCCAGTGCAGTCACTAGTTCTGCACATGTGCATTGCAGTCACGGCACATGTGGCCCTCATGGAGGAAAACTTACGACCTCATTCACACTTGGCTATGATCATCCATTTTCTTGCTCTTATGGTGCTTTCTTGTGGCTGGCTTCATGAGGACATTGATTCGCTTGGCATGGGGTTAGATGCAGGTGTCTTGTTGTCCACTGCGGTGGCTTCAGCAGCTTCACCTAGGCTCCAAAGGATACCTGATCAACCAGGCTGTGACTCGTACGTCAGGCTGCAAGCAGCCGTGTCCAACAGCCTGGTTGATCAGTCCGGCAACCAGGAGGCCTGGTTGACGACCGGGCTGCGGGGACGCTAAGCCCCGGAAGCACCTCAAGGTAACCTCAAGGTAGGCTGTATGCACCCAAACTCCAGGAGGTAGTTGCCGTGTTCTAGGTAGGGCTGGGACTTTGCCTGCTGCTGGTTTGGATAGGCCTTCTTTGGAGCCAGATTGTGGGTTATGAGCCTCTCGCTGTCCATTCCTCTTCTGCTCCTCAGCACTGCTTTTGTGCCTAGTAGAAAGACACCGCTGTTTGTGATTCATGCCTTCACTTCATGGTTCACTCCTTTCACAGGGCAGTACGGAGAGGCAGCTCACCTGGTTTACAGACTCCTGGTCCCACCATTTGTGGGATTTTCGGGGTATTCCTCAAGGCCTTCAATGGAGTTGGTTGGTCGTCCTCCTTCCAGGGGGTCAGGGCTATCAGGGTGCTCCTCGTTCCCTTGTCTCTGTCAGGTCATTACGGAATGGGTAGCTTCCGACGTGGTCAGACGTCAGTGTCTATACTGTACTAGGCATCTTGTCTTTTTCCAGTCCCAATATGGGATTCGGCTGAGCTCGGTTTCATCCTTGGTCATTCGGGGTTGTATGAGTTCATCCCTTGTCCCCCCTTCTGTATGACCACTCTGGCCCAAATTCATAAACATGTGTTGGAGCTCTGTGTTGGAGTCTTGGGCCTGGTTGATTTCTCTGCACCTCAAGGACACTTACTGCCACATCCTTTGAGGTTACCTTGAGGTTACCTTGAAGTGCTTCCGGGGCTTAGCATCCCCGCGGCCCAGTCGTTGACCAGGCCTCCTGGTTGCCGGACTGATCAACCAGGCTGTTGGACACGGCTGCTCGCAGCCTGACGTATGAGTCACAGCCTGGTTGATCAGGTATCCTTTGGAGGTGCTTATCCAGTTCTCTCTTGAACACTGTGAGGAGTTTGCCAGTTATGTTCCTTATGTGTAGCACAAGCGTGTTGAACAGTCTCGGGCCTCTGATGTTGATAGAGTTCTCTCTCAGAGTACCTGTTGCACCTCTGCTTTTCAACGGGGGTATTCTGCACATCCTGCCATGTCTTCTGGTCTCATGTGATGTTATTTCTGTGTGCAGGTTTGGGACCAGCCCCTCTAATATTTTCCACATGTAAATTATTATGTATCTCTCCCGCCTGCGCTCAAGGGAGTACAGATTTAGGCTCTTTAGTCGGTCCCAATAGTTTAGATGTTTTACTGAGTGGATTCTAGCAGTAAAGAATCTCTGCACGCTCTCCAGGTCAGCAATTTCTCCAGCTTTGAAAGGGGCTGTCATCGTGCAGCAATACTCCACTCTAGAGAGCACAAACGTTTTGAAAAGTATCATCATCGGTATAGCATCTCTAGTGTGAAAAGTTCTTGTTATCCAACCTGTCATTTTTCTTGCAGTTGTGACGGCTACTTTATTGTGTTCTTTAAAGGTAAGGTCTTCCGACATGAGTACACCCAGATCCTTTACATTGCCTTTTCGTTCTATGTTATGATTTGCCCGAGTTTTGTACGTGGTTTCTGTTTTTATATTTTCATTTTTTCCATAGCGCATGAACTGGAACTTATCTTCATTAAACACCATATTATTTTCTGTAGCCCATAGAAAGACCTGATCTACATCTGATTGGAGGTTTGCCGTGTCCTCTATGTTGCCTACTCTCATGAAGATCCTTGTGTCATCTGCAAAGGATGATACAGTGCTATAGGTTGTGTTCTTGTCTATGTCCGATATGAGGGTGAGAAAAAGTACTGGAGCAAGCACAGTACCCTGGGGGACTGAGCTCTTCACGGTTGATGGGCTGGATTTTATTTTGTTGACTATTATACATTGGGTTCTGTTAGTCAGGAAATTGTAGATCCATCTGCCTATTTTTCCGGTAATTCCTTTTGAACGCATTTTATGTGCAATAACACCATGGTCACATTTATCAAAAGCTTTTGCGAAATCTGTGTAAATTACATTCGCGTTTTGTTTTTCTTCCATAGCATCTAATGCCATATCATAGTGGTCCAGCAACTGCGACAGGCAAGAGTGCCCTGTTCTGAAACCATGTTGTCTGGGGTTATAGAGATGCTGTGATTCCATGTATTTTGTGATCGTACTTCTTAGCACTCTCAAAAATTTTTATGATGTGCGATGTTAGTGCTATCGGTTTGTAATTTTTGCCTCTGTCTTATTTCCTCCTTTATGAAGTGGTGCTATCTCTGCTGTTTTTAGTATATCAGGGATAACGCCAGTATCTAAGCTTTGTCTCCACAGAATGTGGAGGGCCTGCGATAGTGTTTTTTTACAGTTCTTGATGAATATAGAGTTCCAAGAATCCGGGCCTGGTGCAGAGTGCATAGGCATACTGTTTATGGCTTCTTCAAAATCCAGTGGGGATAGGGTGACGTCTGATATATGATTTGATGTTGGTATCATATCCACATATCCCCATACATCCAAGGTCAGAGAATGGTTAAGTTTTGACATGGGGCGTCGAGCTTGCCACTTCAGCATCCTTCCCTTTAGTCTGAATCTGGCTCCCTGTGTTTTTACCAGATTGTCTAGGGTCATGGTGACTTTTCTTCATTTACTGGGGATTCATATTCTTGCCTACCTTGATGACGTGTTGGTTTAGGTCCCTAGTCAAGCAGCATGTCTGCTAACCAGGGATCTGGTTCAATTCCAACTCACCTGTTTTGAGTTCATGGTGGACTAGCATAAGTCCCAGTTGGTTCAGTCCCAGGTTCAGACTTGGCTGGGCCTCGTGAGACTCCTGGCTGTCGTCACTTTCTTTTCCACCAGCGGCTTTGCTCTGGCTTCAGTTCCTTGGCTACAGCATTGCCACCTTCTGGTGTTGAGGTGGCCCCTGGTGACTTGGTGTTGGCTTAAGCATTTATGCAGGAACCTGAACTTAGTCTGCATGGTTTTTCTGCTGAGTAAGGTGTGATTTCAGGGGGATATTCTGGTTTCTTCAGTTCATCCCTTTGCTGCAATTGTTGGGTTTGGACCCTGATCACCCTTTGTTGGCTTCTGCATCGCCAGCTTCCTTTTTCGGCTTTTCGAGGTTTAGTTCCTTGGCACCTAGCTCAATGTGTTTATGAACATATTGGCCCTGGGTTGGGGATTTGTGACCAACAATAACCAGTCTGGCCAGGTCCTTTGGTTGGGACAGTCCATCCAGTACACAGTATGGTTGCACCTGTTTGTAGCTGTGCAGCATGCTTCGAGGAGGATTTGAATTACTCTGGCCATTGTCCTCCAGCTCCATTCAGACCATTCTCCATTGGTTCATTACTTGAACCTGGGCAATTCCCTTGAGAAGGTTCCATCCAGATTAGCATCCAACCCCCAAGATGGAACAAGCAGAAACCAGCACACAGCCTGCTCAGACGAAGTCCTCTCCCACCAGCACTAAGATAGGGGAGTGGGAGGGTTATCCATTAAACTTCAAACAGCAAATAAATTAGGCAAATAAACCTCCCTTGTCCATGAGAAAAACCTAAACAACCAAAGTGATACCCCAGCCTTTAGTTGGCCCTTACTGAGACTTTATTGTCTATCAATGAAAAAGGACGAGAAGAGCCAGACTAAACAAAAGACACCTTTATACATCACAGCCACTAAAAATTAACTGAGTGCTCAACCCTTATAATGTGGTGAAAATATAATGGGTAAGCATGGCTGCACAGGCCTCAGATAGGAGACCAGAGTCCCCAAATACACTGTATTAAGAGATGGGTAACCGATTTGCCAAATAGCTTCAGGAAAGCAAACCATTTGTAGTCATTTGTCCTTGCAACTGATGCCAAGGAGAGTACTTCCATGAAGCTAAATCTAAGCAGACTGGGAGAATAGAAGCATGCAAACAACATGGGTACCATGCCTTGAAGTGAACCTTAAAACTGGGAAGACTCCTCCTTGTGCTAAGATTTAAAATTGTTACCTAGCAAAACATAACTTATACACAGGTTTAGGTGTGGGCCAAGACTGAGAACAATCTTACTAAGGAGCAAAATATTGCACTTATCTGAGTCGGAAGCTTTCAATACGAAAAATGCCAGGCATAGAGTGAGGGGGGCCTGCCTCCTCCAGCCCTTGTGTGCACTGGCAGGATAGCTGGTCACTGTTTAATTGGTTAGTAGTTTAAGAAAGATTTGTTGTTGTGGTTTAAGTCTCCATGAACTATTTGGCGGCAGTTTTGAGTGATTCAAAAGGTTTGTGTGTTATAGTCAGTCGTTACATCATGATTGATTAAGGTATGCTCTCCACTGAGCACAGTCCTGTTCATAACCAGAAAAAGACAATTTGTATTGATACTTTTTCCCTGGGGCTATTCACACAAAGCCTGGTGGATAGAGATGAAGGAGAGGGGGGGGGGGAATCCCCCCTTGGTCAAAAATATGTATACAAAAACACTAAGGTATTCATAATTTAAGATGCCTAAATAACTTACACAATGTCTTCCTGAGAGCGATCTGATGGATGTTGCCCATACATCAGAAAGTAACGATTCATAACTTCAATGTGTGTTTTTCTCCCATCTGAATAGGCCACAAGAGGATAGCATTTCACAAGATCCTGAAGATTTGCAGTCTTGTTATTGAGGAAAGACTGAAGTACTGATATAATCATAGTGCTGTCCTTTAGTTGCTGAGAAAAAAAAAATATTTAAATTAATTTTCATCAAATTTCAACAGTAACGCAAGATATTAAAACCTAATACTGTATACATGTGAAGGAAGGAGAGGAGTCAAATTAAGTGGCACAGGTACTTCCGTGAAGTACCATTGTTTTGGTCCATTCCATTGAAATACCATTAAGTATCTTTGTTTTGGCTACTGTCCTATAAAATTATGTATAGGACAGTTCCATATACTTAACAAAACAAAAAAAACAGCGTTGAATGTAATGAAACGCCATTTTCTGGGCGAGTCCTGGAGGCTCCCCGGAGCTATCCATGACCGATATGGATACCCTAACTATTTTGCATCAGTGAATGTGGGTGGAGTTCTAGGCCTACCAGGGACCACGAGCCAGAACCTGGCCTTCTCACAGAGGCACGAGGAGCAATGGCCCATAGAAATGCACATGAAATACATTCTATATCTGCCATTGACCGGGACAGGTACCCAGAAAGGTAAGCGCCACAAAACAATCCCCTATTCTGGTTAACAACAAAAATCATCAAACGAGTGGACAGAACTCCCCAAAAGAAAACGAGCAAACAAGCAGGCCGCCAAACGAGCTGTGCCGCATGTATGCACATCTCCCCCCTCCCCAAGAGGGAGAAGGGGGAGCCCCAGTTCTGAGGCTGGATATCAAACACGCGAAAAAAATGCCGACCAGATGGAGGGAGGGTTGCCGGGTAGCCTCCGGGACTCACCCAGAAAGCTGCGTTTCATTACATTCAGCGCTGGTTTTCTGGGGGGATTCCCTACGGCTCCCCGGAGCTACTTCACCAAAGACAACAAAAGAAAAGGGGACGCTCTCCAGGTCAGCAATTTCTCCAGCTTTGAAAGGGGCTGTCATTGTGCAGCAGTATTCCACTCTAGAGAGCACTAGTGTCTTGAAAAGTATCATCATCGGTATAGCATCTCTAGTGTGAAAGGTTCTTGTTATCCAACCAGTCATTTTTCTTGCAGTTGTGACGACTACTTTATTGTGTTCTTTAAATGTCGATGTTGATGTAACCTCGATGTTCTGTAAATGTCGATGTTAATTTGGCAACATTGATCTAGGTTACTAGTCATCTGCCCTTGACTAAAGAAGGGGACCTGATTCTTTACTCCTAAATGATGTTAACCGTATAGGTAACTTTGGACCTGATGTTCGTCCATTTTTTCTCCTGAGTCCTAACCGAGGACCAGACTTGCGTCCACTACAAAAATATTTGTATAAAATTCATTTTTTATCCAATCGACCTCGAGATAGTATCAAAATAAGCGCCTTTAGAATGCACACAATTTGATCCCAAAATGAAAGATGTAACATGAATCTTGATGTCCGAACACTTATATGATTATAAATACAGTGGAACCTCGATTAACGAGTGGCTCTATTAACGAGTTTTTCCAGTAACGAGCAAGCCACTCGCAGCAAATTTGTCTCTATTGACGAGCTCGCCTCTATTAACGAGCAAAACCACATGGTGCTTCCTAGCATCTCGCAGGTTCTCGCAAATTCTCGGACGCCTTTGACGCCAGTGTTGTTGTTGTATCGCACACGACAAGCATCCCTCTGGATTTATTTGAGCTTTTCTTTGGGTTTTTAGTGGTTTTGCGACTACAATTTGTAACACACGATATCTCCAAAGAAGCTGCTTGCTAAAGATGGTGTTGTCAAGAGGAAGAAAGACACAATTACTGTGGATTTAAAGAAGGAAATTATAGCAAAGCATGAGTGTGGTGTCTGTGTGATTGATCTAACAAGGGAGAATGGCAGGTCCTCATCAACAATTTACACCATTAGTAAGGGAATGAGGAGGTAAGGGAGGATGCTGCCTCTTCCACCGAGATCAGGGAAGTGTTTGGAATGTTTGAAAAGGTGAACATATTCTTGGAAAAGCTGCCCTGATAAAGCAGTGACAACCCGGTGTGTGAAAATGTTTAATTAATTTATCACTTTGTGATAACACTTTATGAAAGTGTTATCACTTTTGCAGGTATATGTCGCTTGAACGTGACACTTTTTTCTCTTGAATGCACCCAAACACCGTGCTCAAGCGTCATTTGAGCAAATATTTCTATAAAATCCAATTCTTATCCGATCGACTTGGGGATTGTATACATGTTTGCCATGAAATTTCTGTTTTCTTTAACACTTTCGCGCTCTCCGCAAAGGTCACTCAGCCAACCGAATGTGCACGCTGCGTTTTTATCGCTTAAGCGTAAAAACAAAAATGTGTATACTCTTTTTACTCTTCTGACCTTAGTTCTCATGCTACGTATTTCATTTTGGTACCAACGTGTTCGCAATAAAATTCTCTAGAAGAACATCAGTAAAAAAAAGTCACGAAACGTATAGGGATACCAGCACCAAATAAATAACTACAAAGATGACTCGCCGTGAGCGCCCATCAGCAACAAAATGTTTTTACTCTTGGGATTGTAATCACCTCCATACTTGTTCTACAGCGTTAATTTTGGTATCAATGGACTCACAATGAAATTCCCAACACGGTGATATGAATATAAGCGTAGAATAATGATTGCGGCCCGCCCGCAAGAGTGTGGGAAGTGGTGAAATTGTTACCCGGTATCGGTGACGGGACGACGCACGGCGCTTTGAAAGTTTATACTTATTTCACTCTCATGACATTAATTTTCTATGTACGTCATTCATTTTTGTGTCAATGTGTTCGCAATAGAATGTTCTATGTGCCCATAGGTAAAAAATATCAACAAAGCGTAAGTTAGAATAGCGCCAAATATAAAACAACGCTGGAACATATCAGTGAGCGTCAAACACACACGAAATGTTTTTACTTTTGTTATGTTTGTCAAGTTTATACTTGTTGCACACAGTTATTTTTGGTTGTATATTGATCGGAATAAAATTCCCTAAACAGACATATGCATATAATACATGATATGGGGGAAGCATTACCAGTATAAACGGCTAAAGTCACCCACCTGCAACCCGTTTGGGACAAAATACCATTTGATCGAAGTTATCCACACCTTTCATGAACTTATTGTACCATGCAGCCTAGTGGTGAGAAAGAGAGCCTCATAGCGCGCAGTTTAAAACAAACCCAAAGTAAATCGGATAAAAATTGAATTTTATACAAATATTTTAAAAGTTGACATAATTTTATGTCCACTATGCGTTTACGTTAGACGAAACCGGACGCGCCGGCGCGTTCAGATAGCGCGAAAGTGTTAAATTAATAACCACATTGCCTATTTGAGAAAACGGCATTGTATTGTATCTTCGTGGTAAGACTATTATATTGTTGACACAACGAGTGTAATCGATGTAGTTTTTTATTTGGTGCTGGTCTAACGCATCCTTGTGTGACATTTGAAATGAAATTTGAGTGAAATTCCCAAGAAGAGAGAGTCCGCCTGACTCAGAGGTGGATTCTCCTTCCACGCCATAACCCCTCTCCTCCTTCCCACCTCCCCATCGTCTCCCTCAAGCCAGCAACTACTCTTCATAAGGTAAAGTAAATATTAAACCACTACAACAAAACATTTATATTTACATGTGCAGTATTATATTTACATAAAAAAAAGTCATACAAGTATGGATGTTTCTGGGAGTGGAACGGATTAAATTTATTTCCTTTATTTTAAATGGGGATATTTGTTTCTTAAGACGAGTTTTCCAGGTAACGAGCTCGGTGCCAGAACAGATTAAACTCGTTAATAGAGGTTCCACTGTAAGTTTTTAGTCAAAATTTTATAATATTTGTTAAAATTTTATTTATTGTGCTAATATGTTGTGACTAGTTTTAAAATGCGCGCCTTTACGTCGCAAATAATTTGATACCAAAATGAAAGACGTAACACAAAAATTTATGTCAGAACACTGGAAAGATATAAATAATTTTGTGATGATGAGCTTCCAGAATTAAAATATTTGTTAAAATTCCAGTTATTGCTCTATTATTATGGGACTAGTTTTAAAATATGCGCCTTTATATTGCGAACAATTTGATACCAAAATGAAAGACGTAACACGAAAATTGATGTTATCAAACTGAACGAGTATACACATTAGGTTGCAGTGTACAAATTGGTGCTTGTTCACGGGTAACTTTAGGCTTTTCTGCGGGGAGGCACTCCAGGCTTTTGTACATTATATTCATACACATCTGTAGGGAATTTAATTGTGAACACAATGATACCAAAACGAGCGACGAAGCACGAGAATTAAGGTGAGAAAAATGGAACGAGTATGCACATTTTACTGATTTTGTGCGCTTACGGGTAACTTATGCCAACTTAGGCTTTGCTGTTGGGAGTCACGCCAGGCTTTTGGACATTATATTTATACACACCTGTAGGGAATTTAATTGCAAACACAATGATACCAAAACGAACGATGTAGCATGAGAATTAAGGTGAGAAAGCTGAAAAGTATACAAATTTAGGTGTCACCGCGCGCTTGCCCGCACGTTCGGTGCATGACCCCTAAGTTGACCACGCGCATGCCCAGTGAGCGATAGTGTTAATTATTTACTTTAATACATAAATTTTTATGTATTAATACTTTAATACCAGGAGAAGCTGGCGACCTTACTTATCTGCCCTTGCTCAAATCCCTCGGGATGACCTTTCTCGACTACTCAGGTAGACAGTACGCTGTGGCTCTAAGTTTCGCCAGACCACGTGATCTGGGAATTTATAATTACTAACAACAAGTTTTAGTTTGTTACAAGCTGAACCAAGGGGAAAGAAGAACAGGTAACTCCACCTCGATCAGTCCTGCCGAAAAGCATCGACCCCGACGGCCCAGCAGTCGGGGAAGGGTGCCACATATACCGGAAGACACCTCGACCATGCCAACACGAAGAGGTCCACCTTTAGGAACCTGTACGTTTGGAAGAGCCAGCTGAATGAGTTGATATCGACCGTCGATTCCGTGGAAAAGGGATCAGAACCAAAATCCACCAGAACATTGGACACCCCCGAACGTGAACTGCCAGGAGAGCCAAACCTCGAGAACTCAGCAGATGGGTCACATGAAGCTACCAGCCCCAAAAAGCCAAGGACCACATCAAACCCCCTTGGTTCAGGCAACGAACCATCGGGGAGCAGTCCGAATAGAGCCGGATCGTCAATCCGCGGGCAACCCAAACCCTCCAAAGGAAAAACCACACCGCCTCGAACTCCCACACTGTGCTGTGGGCCCGACAGAAGGACAGACCCTACCACCCCTGGCCGACCTGGCCACAAAGCCCCAGCCGAGAGACGACGTGTCTGCAAACACATTGAGCGAGGGCTCGGATAGGCGTCAAGGCACTGAACCCCGAAAACCCAAAGAGGAAGCTGGCGATGCAGCAGCCGACGCAATGCCCCAGGGGGACGAACGCAGCGATCGTGAGAGAGGCGGAAGGGACGTCCCCGAAGGAACCAGAACAACCGACGAAGCCAAACCCGACCCCGGCGGGTTGACCATCACCACAAAGTTCAGGCTCCTGCACAAACCTTCGAGCAACCACCGGGTGACCCAGAAGCCCCCCAGAAACAAACACATGCGGGACTGCAGAGCCAAAGGAGACTCCGGAGGGAGAGACAAGGAAGCGGTCCGAGAGACCCACACAACACCCAGCCAGATCCAAACCTGGGAGGGGACCAGATGGGACTTCTGCCAGTTCAGCCAGTTCACCAAGAACTCGAACCCGGCTAGCTGGGAAAGCACTGTTTTTAAACCCCGGAGGTTTAAGAACAGGCTTAATATTACAAACAGGAAAGTTTGTGGAAAAACTACTTTTTTTTATTTTTTTTCTTGGCACATGACTAGGTCACTTAGTCTGACTTAACTTCATTTTTCTTGCAGGGACTCCTATTGCTTAGAGCAGTCAAAGAATGAAATATTACAGTTTAATGTATACAATACCACAACAAGCAGTTCATAGATGCTTATAGTTGATGTGCAACATTGTAATGTAGTATAGTGACACATTTTTATATATGCTAGACCCTAAACAAAGCAAATACTGTACCTGTAGCTACAAAATACTACGCTCTCAATGTGAGTCAGTCTCTATAATTTTGATGTATGGGGTTGGTGTTAAAACTCATCCACCCAACTTAAAATTGTAGAATATTATATTGTGGTATTGTAGCTCAAGGAGGGGGTTGTAAGTTTTAAGGAAAGAGCTGTTACCAATTCCCAGAACCCACCTCAGTAATTGAAGCCCTGATCCAAAACGCCTTGTAAAACCAACTTCTATCACCCTTTCTTCACTTCCTATATTAACAACATGCCTCAGCTACTCTCACGTACATGCAGTATATTCATTTTTCCTAAATCTATGGAATGTTTAAATTATTTTTTCAAACTGCCTTATAGAAAAAATATAAATTAAGAACTTACCAATATTTCTTCCGAATTTGGGAGCTGAACAACAAGAAATGGAACTTTACGATAATCTGTCCATCGTGTTTGTGAACGTGTGACCGAGTTAACCTCAATTACTTCATAAGATAAGCCAAAGTAGTCCAGGAATGTCCTAACTTTACAGCAAAAGGGGCATGTCTGAAACTGAAATAGCGTCATCTTCAATCCTGTTGAATCAGTTGGAATTTGAATCTGAAAGAGAGAGAGAGAGAGACATGCCACACTGAATATTTGCTTAATTTACTTAAACTATGATAAAAGTTTTATCACGATTATTAAGAATGTCACAAGAATATTATATTGTACAGTACAGTACTATAATAATGTAAAAAATCAGCATTGAATGTAATGAAACCCCAATTTCTGGGTGAGCCCTGGAGGCTTCCTGAAGCTATCATACACTGATCCAACATGTTCTCTTACAAAGAACGTCGCTTTTTGCTCGTATGCATTACAAAGGCAAAAAACCAGCATTGAATGTAATGAAAAGCCATTTTCTGGGTGAGAAGTACCTCAAGGTAACCTCTCCTGTGTTCACAAACATGTGTTGAAGTTTCACATGTCACAAACATCTGGAGTTATGGGTAGCAGATGGCTGGGTGAGGGGGGTTCAGATATTGGCTCTGCTCTCCTGTAGGCCAACAAAACTCCTGCATCCGATACCTGTATAACCCATTTGCATGGCGCTATCTCGGCAATATAGCTTCCAAGAGCCACCAAAGCTCGTCTAGAAAGAGCCATTTTATTACATTCAATGTTGGGTTTCTTCACATCAGCAGCTCCTACTGTATGAATATACTCCCCTACCATCCTACCAAATTTAATGAAAAGCTGAGATAGTTGGGATGAAAGTCCACTTTTTGTGATGATTTGGCATTGAATGACCCCTGATATAATTTGTCAAAGGAATTACTTATCCATCAACTCTTTTTTTTTCTCTCTCTCTCTCTCTCTTGACACTCACTTATTACTGGCCATTCATACTTTCCAGATATATAAACTAAATATATTGTTAGGAAATACAACTTAAAAATGAGTGATGTATATAATGGTGTAGCAGGTCTACAAGACAGGATAACAACTCATCATCAGAGGAAGCAGCGAGACTCCCAAGCTGGATATTTGGAATTATAAAAGAACTGTCACAGAAATGGATTACTGGCAGACACTTCGAGCCCATTTGCAGTCAGATCAATGTTATAGTACAATCATTGTGATAGGATCCCTGGATTTGAAAGTTCTCGTAATCCATCTTATTATTTTTCTGGTTGACGCAATATTTGCTTGGCTATGCTCCCTAAACGTTATGTCGTCAGATATCATTCTTCCAAAATCCTTTACATGCTGCTTTCCTACTATGGGCAGATTTAATTGGGTTTTGTACCCGGTATTATGTTTAAGGTCCTCCTTTTTATCGTACCCGAGTACCTGTACCTGGAATTTATCACTGTTATACATCATGTTATTTTCTAAGGCTTTATTAATATCTGCTTGTAGGTTTTCAATGTCTTCAGCAGAGGTAATTTTCATGCTTATTTTTGTGTCATCTGCAAAGGATGATGCAAAACTATGACTTGTATTTTTGTCTATAGGTGTATCTGATATGAGAATAAGGAAAAGCAATTGTGCAACCCTGAAGTACAAAGCTTTTAACTGCGCTTGGATTCAATTTTATATGGTTGACTGTTACTCTGTGTTCTGTTCGACAGAAAATTGAGTATCCACTGTCCTACTTTGCCAGTTATTCCCACTGACCTCATTAGTGTGTTATCACTCCATGGTCACATTTATTGAATGCCTTTGCAAAGTCTGTGTATACCACATCTGCATTCTGTTTTCCTTCTAACGCCTCAGTGATTTTGTCATAGTGGTCATATAGCTGTGAGAGGCATGATCTTCCCACTTTAAATTCATGTTGGCCTGGATTGTGAAGGTCATTCGTCTCAATGAATCTGGTGACCTGACTCCTGATCATTCTCTAAAATACTTTTATTATGTGGCCTCTCTCGCTCCTCTCCCCCCCCCCCACACTCTCCCCATATGCCAACACTGCCCCCCCCCACCCCCCTTACCATCTCCCATACAACAAGAGTCCTCAGTAAAGGCAAAGTGCAGTTAAATGTTCACTTATTTTATTTATGGGTTATACAGTATTTATAGCTGATTGTTTTGTGTTCAAAAAATATGATTAGTATTCTGTATAAGATGTATTTTTAAGTTAATATTTTTGGGGGCGTGGAACAGATTAATTTAATTTGCATTATTTCTTATGGGAAAATTTGTTTGTGTACGAGCTTTCTCTTGGCACAAATTCAATTCGTAGACCGAGGTTCCACTGTACAGTACTGTACAGTACTTACAGTACTTTTTATGTAAACTTTCTCAAATATAAAAGTACAACCATTTATGAATAAAGTGTTTGATTTGATAAATAGTGACCAAGAAGTTGGGACGACTTGACCAAGCACCAGTACCTCTGCTCTGACGTACTGTACAATAAGAATACTCTGGGGACACTGAAATAATTACTTACTGATCTAGAAGGAGAGAAGGTTGGTGGTTTCTTTGCGAGGACATATTGCCCACCTGCAGAAGAGTTTGGTATTGGAGTGGCGACCTTCGTGTACAAGTGGTACATGTAGGCGGTGCTGACCAAGGCTCCGGCTCCAAACCCCAACCCCACCAACTTGCTGTAGTTCTTCCACCATGACGGCTTGGGCGGCGAGGTTATCCTGGTAGTTGCCCACCTCGCCAACCGCTGCCCTCCTACGCCCTGCTCTACACCTCCAATCTTTATACTTCTAAATATAACACCTTCATTTCTGCTTAGATTTATGAGGAATGTTCTGCCGAAGAGAGCCATGACGGCCAAGTACGCAGACAACTGGTGACACCGGCGCTGCTCGCCTGTCTGCTCCTCTGCTCCGGCTCCTTAATCTTCAGTCAACAGTGTACATGTTCAGAATTTAGAAATAATTCTATTACAAATTTTCAAGAAATTTATATTTTATTACAAATTAATTACTACCAGAAATCTCATTTATTTCTTCTTTGCGATACGTGCAGCTTGCATGGCTGATTTATTTCAAGTTTGTTGTTGTTGCTGGGTTAGGGGCAGCTATAGCGGTGGGCGGCGGCCCCGACCACATACATACACAGATTTATGAATGCATTAATGTGAATTTATAAATTCACATTAATGCATTCATAAATCTGTGTATCTATGTATATACGTATGTAGCTTAGCCTAACATTTTAAAAGCACTACGATCACCTTCTGTGGCTGTTCAATAAATCTCTGAACTATATGTTTGACAAATCTCTCACCCTGTCCATGGAGGACAGAAGAAAATGTATATATGCTGGTTAGCATTGTAAATGTGTGGCTACGTCTGTGGTAGAAAATAATAAAAAAAAACGGCACGCTGCCCACGGTCTGGCCGCCCTCCACCCGGCTAAGGCCGCCCTCCACCCGGCTTGGCAGCCCTCCACCCGGCTAAGGCCACCCTCCACCCGGCTAAGGCCACCCTCCACCCGGCTAAGGCCGCCCTCCACCCGGCTAAGGCCGCCCTCCACCCGGTTTGGCAGCCCTCCACCCGGCTAAGGCCACCCTCCACCCGGCTAAGGCCACCCTCCACCCGGCTAAGGCCGCCCTCCACACGGCTAAGGCCGCCCTCCACCCGGCTAAGGCCACCCTACACCCGGCCTGGCCGCCCTCCACACGGCTAAGGCCGCCCTCCACCCGGCTAAGGCCGCCCTCCACACGGCTAAGGCCGCCCTCCACCCGGCTAAGGCCGCCCTCCACACGGCTAAGGCCGCCCTCCACCCGGCTAAGGCCGCCCTCCACCCGGCCTGACCGCCCTCCACACGGCTAAGGCCGCCCTCCACCCGGCTAAGGCCACCCTACACCCGGCCTGGCCGCCCTCCACCCGGCTAAGGCCACCCTCCACACGGCTAAGGCCGCCCTCCACACGGCTAAGGCCGCCCTCCACCCGGCTAAGGCCGCCCTCCACCCGGCCTGACCGCCCTCCACAGGGCTAAGGCCGCCCTCCACCAATGTGAGGCGCAGGCCGCCAGTTTTCCTTTAGGCTATGGCCGTTGAGAACGGCAAGTGCTAGGCAGGAGCTTAGAATTTATTAATTTCTATATTATTTATTTTACCTATTTTATTCATTCATTTGTGATTGTTACATTCTTGCAACGCCACTGACATGCATATTATGTTTTGAGCAGATCCTTAAGCTAACCAATAAATCAAATAATAGGTACATTGTAACAATCTCAATTCAATAAAATAACATTATAAATTGATAGTGTATAGATTATACTGTACTGGTAAAGTTGCATGTCTTAAATACTAGAATTGAGTGGGTAGCACAAGATATAGTTTGAGTTAGTAGCACAAGGTGTGAAATGATGAAATTAGGTACTGTACTTTTAGGTTCAGCTTTCCAATAAGTATAGGTTGGACAATTTGTTAATTCATTAGGGAGTGAATTACATAGACTGGGTATCTTTATTTGCATGGAGTGTTTGCGCAGATTTAGTCTGGTTCTAGGAATATCAAAGAGATTTATTTCTGGCATGGTGCTCATGGATTCTATTACATCTATCAAGGAAGTTTCAAATCAGGATTAGAATCATGGAATAAGGTTTTGTAAGTGTAAATAGCATAAAAGAATGTGAGGAGTGAGTGTATGTTTAGCATGTGTAGGGATTTAAGCAGAGGGGTAGTGTGTTGTCTGAAGACAGAATTTTGTATAGTTTTGATAGCAAATTTTTGCTTGGCAATTATAGGCTTGAGGTAGTTTACAGTGGTTGAACCACATACCCCATATGTTAGATTGGGATAGATTAGCAAGTAGTAAAGTGTAAGAAGAGCAGAGCAGTGTACACTATAGAATGGTCATATGTTTTGCTTTCTTAATGTCCCTCCTGGTCACTTGTACCTTAATAGAATCCTTGGTGAAATCCAATACCTTTGGTATCACTCACCTTATGTCCTGCAATACAGATGTTGGTACAGTCTTCCCAGTTTAGAGCCTTTTTTTACTCATTAAATTCTTAATTAGTATCAAGAAAGCATAAAATAATTTTAGGAATAATTTTGTGCACACATGAGGACTAATACATAGAATATAGCTACATGGTTTAAGGGTTAAACACCATCGATCTCTCCTGTTGCCGCTACCATCCACCTATGGCCCCTCTATGACTGGGAAGTCTCAGGGTTTGAAGTTTTTTCCCTCCTTGCTGCCCAAAGTGTGCTTTGTCCTTCCTGTTCCGACCTGGGTGTCTTCTTCACCCATCCCCCACAACATTGACAGTCTACCAAGTCTTTCCAGCTGTCAGTATCAGTTATCTGATGTATCTCATTTTTCAATTGTCCAGTCTCCCCCCCCCCTCCATTTTTTTTTCCTTGCATAAGCATTTCATAATTTATTTTAGCTTTCCTTAGTTCCATTTTAAATGTTGCTAGTTTGACAAATTATTGGTCTTGGTACGTTTGCACATTCTTATTAAGTTCCTGTACTCCCAAGCTTTATGGGAGTACAGAGGGAGTACATCCTGTACTCCCTCCCATTATACATTATTTTGAGTCATTATTACTGGACCCAATAAAAGAATGTCCAAGGTTAAAAGCCAGATGCTTGGGGCTAGCTTCATCCAACTTTACAGGAAGAATGGTCTTGGGATACAGGACTGACATGGGCTGGTCAGGGTTCACCAGAATTCAAGGAGGAACAGCATGCCAGGGGTCACATTCTTACCCCCACAATGATTTTTGGTACTGATCTCTGGCTACACAAAATATTTTGAAGAAAACAATTAGAAATACTGTATGCACCATTATTCACTGATCTCATTAAAATTAACAAATTTTCTGGAGACCCAAACCAGCTAGTCGTCAAGGTAGGTCAACACACAAACCCCTAATAGACATAGGCAGGATACCACTACCCATACTAGCTTTGTAAAAATTCAAGAAGCCAAATTCAAGATGAAGTGTAGAACTTTGAAACTCCACAATAAAATCTAACCATTCTGTGAACCTTGGATGAATCCGGACATGCCAGTACATGTCCTTGAGGTCCAAGGGCACCATCCAAGAATCTGCCTGCAAGACCAGACGAACATGAGTCAAGGTGGTCATGCATTAGGTCTGATGAAAAATGAAGCTGTTCATTTCTGAAAAATTGAAACTGTACTGTAGGTCTGCCGAGTCCTGTTTGAGAAGCAGGAACAACTGGAACACCCACTGAAGAGACTAAATCTTGTTGACCATGTCCAAATCTAACTATATTATGATGACCTCATGCAACTGTGGGGAGGACTCGATCTGATAGCCCTAAAATGTGTAGAGGGGTAGTGACTGACCAACTACACCAAACACTAAGATAGACAACCCAACAGGCCCACAAATTGTTGGAACAAGAGTTAGCAAAATGGGCCCCACACACAATATACGGCCTGTCATAGAGGCGAACTACAAAAGGGGCCAGTATGAACCACAAGCAGTCCCATCCTTCCATCATTGCAATAAATATCCAACCCATAAGTAATAAGTTGGTGGCATGACAATGCACCAGCAGATATGTCCATTACATTATGGTGCTTATACATTATTCAAGCTAAATGAAATAATACCAGCTATCAATAATTTAATTATCAAAATACAAAAGATACAGTAGCTACTTAAACTTCCTTAAATATAAGTAATTTACAAAAAAATGGGACAGTAGAGGCACTTGTGCATAAACTTTAATTTTATCTTGTAAAATTTTTAAATACATATGATCACCTTTGATTAGCTAAAATTTATTCATTATTATTTCACCTTACACAATCTGAATGATATGACACCAATTCTGTTGACAACTTGATGCAAGATAAGGCCAGTACCTGCTTGATGAGGTTCTGAGAGTTCAACTTCCCAAGCCCAACCAAGCTTGACTTGAGAGCGCTTGGTCCACCAGGCTGTTGCTTGGAGCGGCCTGCAGGCCCACATATACACCACAGTTCAGTTGCTCCAGCACTTCTTGAAGAAAACTATCTAATTTTCTCCTGAAGATGTTCATGGTTGTTCCAGTATTATTTCTTATACTTACTGGAAGTATGTTGAACAACCGTGGACCTCTGATGTTCATACAGTGTTCTCCGATTATGCCTATGGCACCCCCTGCTCTTCACTGAGTATATTCTGAATTTTCTTCCATTTAATTCACTCAAGTATGTTGTTAATTTATAATGTGCTTATTAGACCATACAGAAGGTTTGATATGGTATACCACTGTCAGGTGGTACACCACCTGAGAGTGGTATACTTCCTGATCCTGATGCAGGCTTCATGCATCAGGCTTTGGAATCCTGTTTTGTACATCAGACCCTTTGGTCAAGGGTGAGGTTGTCAATGGTCTCACTCACCCAGGTCTGACCAGACCCAACGGTGCTTAACCTGACTGACCAAAAGATGCATACTACTACTAGATAACTAACCTCATTAAAGATGATTTAGTTCAGTAGAAACAGATAACTTTGGAATACAGTATTGGTTAGTAATTGATTCCTGGATATCTTAAGAATATAGAACAAATGCTTAAATAATAGATCATCCATATGAAATTAGGATAAAAATTTGAATTGGTTTTTATTATTAAATGTAATATTTAACATAATTTCATTACTCTAAGTTAGCATTGGCAAAAACTTAATAATCTGACAGATCTGGCAAATAATTTTAAATATTTTTAACAAATACTGTACTTGGATGACTGCATGAACCAAACAGGTCTGCCACAGTAGTAGTAGGCATATACCAAATACCACATAAACCGGACATAAATCCAACAAACAAGCCTTCACTGGTAACCTAGGTGCCTTGACTTGAATCAACAGGTCAAGATTTTTGTTTAACAAAAAACCAAACAGAGCATGTTAGAGGGCTTGGGTATTTCCAATCATATCAAATTTCTTCACTGATCATTTGCTAAAATTTTAAAACAAATTAAATGTAATGAACTGGGCTGTAGATCTAATGATTTCCAACACAAATTTCTGACTAGGTTAGTCTGCTGTCTCTGTATTCTGTGACTCATCTCCATTTTCTTTGTCAGTCTCGGTAACTTCAATGAAAGTGTTACCCTCTTCCATAGCACTTAAGTTCTTGTCCACCTCTTCAGCCTTCTTGGCCTTAGCTTTGGCTTCTTTTTGTTCCTTTTTACTTTGCTGAGACTTCTTGTGTACTGGAAAATAAATTATGGTTGAATAAAACTTCATAGTACTATACATGCAACACTCAGTTTGCACAAGGTTAAAGAACAAAAATTCACACCTACATGGTTATATTTTATTCCTTTCACTGAAAAGTGACTAGACACCCATACTCATAAATTATCTATTTGTACAATTATTATATAATTAAGGTACACTATATAGTCTTGCACTTTGTGGCATGTTGTGCTAAAGTGATAAACAAAATGCATATTTAAGCATTCTGGAATCTATTTACAAGCAGTGGTACAGTGGCATTGTAATTGGGTAGAGCCAAATATACCAGATTTGTAAAACTTTCAGCAATTTTTTAAATCTGCAAAATACCATGCTTTTTACTGTATTTAAACACACATGAAAAGACAATCAAGGCATTTCAAATAAAACTAAACAAATATACAGGAGATTCCCATTATACAAATGCCTGTTATACAAACACTTGTCCATCCAAATGGCCTCTCAAGTCCCCTGCCATGCATCAATTCGCTAACTTAACATGCTCCGCCATCCCCAAGCTGCACTAAAATGCCCAAACGGCAGTCTTGTGGTGATGTAGGGTGGTACAAAATTGTCCGCATGGTCCACTAGAGAAGATGGGGTTAGGTCAAGACTGTTCAACAGCAAACGGTGTGTTGAACAAGACTGTTCAACAGCTCATTTTCCGATTGTCAAAACCATATATATATATCATTAAGTTAGAATGTGTAGTATTAGCCTAGATTATGATGAGTTAGGCTCAGTTGGGTTAAATTAGGTTTGTTTGGGTAAGGTTGGGTTCGTTTTAAAATGTGCTGGCAAACGTGCGTGTGTGTATGATGGAACGTATTTGTGGGGACTCATGCTGCCTCAACAGTTTTCTGGTGCACAGAACATGACATGCTGTGCATTCTTTGGACTTTTATAGAGAAAAATTCCAGTAACACTGAATGAAAGAAAGAGAGTTGGGGAATGCACCGGTGCCAAGGAAGAGGTGACCTTAGAAATGAGCTGGCATTATGAAGCACTGAGAGGGGGTGAAAAACAAACACAGATTGCAAATATTTACAGTGTGAATCACTCATCCTTTGAGACTATTTAGATAAAACAAATCTTACAGCATGTGAAGGGTTCTACACTACTGAAATCAATGAAAAAAAGGAAAATTAAATACTGGGTACACACTAAATTTGTGACTTGGAAAAGTTAACATTGTGGATCAATGACCAGAGTCGTTGATCAACTCCAATCAGCCTGATGCTCACACAGGGGAAAGCAAGAAGTCTTTTTGATGATTTAAAGAAGAAATTAGGTACAACTACGAGTGATGAAATGTGTGTGGCTAGTCATGGGTGGTTTAACAGATACTGTATAAGGGTACGGCAAATTTACACAACATAAAACTGAGTAGCGAGGCTGTTATTGCAGTTAAGAAGGGAGCAGCTGAATGTTCCAAAACTGTCCAAAATTATTGAAGATAGAAACCATTGTGCACATCAAGTGTTTAATGTTATGAAACTGACCTGTTTTGGAAAAAAAAGTGCCTTATAGAACATACATTTCCAAGGAAGAAAAACACTGCCTGGTTTCAAAGCAGCAAAAGACTGCTTAGCCCTTTTGCTGGGAGAAAATGCTGCTGGTGATTGTAAGCTAAAGCCTCCTCTTTTATGGAAAACTTTTGAAGAAGGCATGTTTATTGTAAACACAATCCCTACACTCCGGTAGAGGCACTATGCACAACACACAATAAATATGAGACTTAGCAGAGAATCTAACCTATCTAATATTTAATCTACAAACCATACTAAATCCTAACAATAACCATACTATATTTACATCATTTGTATAAAAAAAAAATGGTGACTGAAATTTGCAAACTATGCATTGGCCCAGGGATCAACACATGATGATAACTGCTCTTTAAAGGTTAAGGCATTATATAGTTTCTCTCATGGTTTCCAATAGTCAGACTTAGACTTATAGACTAAGTCTGAAGTCTAAAATAGACTTCCATAAGCCTGTTAGGCTTACTGAAATCTCCCTAAGACAACCCACAACAGTTGCTTAACTCCCATGTACTATTTACTGCTAGGTAAACAGGGGCATCAAATGAAATGCAACATTGTCCAAAAGCTTCTGTCCTGCTGCAGGAGTCAAACCAGGGACCTTTGGTCTGTGACCCAACTGCACTTACTACTGTGCCACAGAACCCAACTATTGCTAATTGATACCTCACAACATTCTACAGCATTTTGCTAGTTAAAAACTTACCTTCTAAGCTCTCTTGTAAAGACTCAATAAATTTTTCAAATTCCATCTCTTTCATGGCAGTGAATACATCCTGTGCACTGACAGTCTTCTTTTTGTTCTTCTGGGCTAAACTGTTGGCTGTAGATGTGGTGTAAAGGACAAATACTGATGCAGCCTTAGCAATAGCACTGCGAGCCTCCTTAGCCACAGAAATACCTTCAGGTAGTGTATCTTTTATAATGCGTGTAATTACTGCATTTGGAAGATTCAGGTCTTCAGGTCGTTCTGCCATATTAAATACTGGTAAATTCTCTGAAAACAATTATTATAATTTATTATTATTATTATTAATCCTGTAATATACACCATTATTTCATAGATTTGAAATAGGTTTTAGAGAATAGGTAGATATAAGTGGTTTACCAGGGCATTAAAACTCACTGCTTAAATACCATCAAGGCTTCTATGGAAAAGGAAAAAGAAAAAAATGCTGATAAAACAAATAAAAGTACAGTAGTGATATTTTAATTGCATGTAGACTATCGAGAAACAAAGCCCCGGGGTGGCATACAGCCAACTCTATTAGCATGATGAGAACATGGGGTGCAATAAATAATTTTTTTTTTTAACAAGCTCGGGTATACATAGCAATGTGCTGCTACCCTATTCTATAGAAAAGATCAAGAGACAAGGAAACCCCGAGACAAAAGAATAACCTATTGATTAAGCAAATCTCGTTACTTCCACCTGCCCACTACTAGAGGACTATGTACCTTTCTCCTTAATCCCCTAACATTGATCTTTAGTCAATTAGCCAGGAAGACATAAAAACCATTGCTCTTGAAAGGGGAGGTTAATTGGTTCCAAGGAGCTACCAAGGACCCACCAGAAAGAGGCATTTCATTATTAATTTTTTTTTTTGATAGAGCACCTATTGGTGGCTCCTTGGTACTGTCATAGAGAAAAAACAAAAAGGGGTACATACCAGCAGTGGAAGAGAGTTGCCGAGAAAGTAACCCCCCTTGAAAAGGGTAATTAGTGACGAATTAATCACCAGACAAGTCCAATGCAGATCAGGATCATTCACTAAGTAAGGATTCGCCAGTACTGTTGGACCACTAAACCCACAAGCCCAAATTTCTGCCCAAGCCACACTTTAAAAACTGCAGAGCTGCAAACTTATGAACATCATGGACCTCAAGGGTAGACCACTGGCTATTAAACTTAATGACATTGTGGACAATCTAAGACAAATGGGCCCTGGAACAAGGACCCAGGGACACTGGAGCCACAGAGTATCCCCTCCCCCCCCCCCCCTCGGTCCACCACTAGTGATGCAGAGGTAACAGGGAATGGTCGCAACTGGACACAATACATAATGAACCCCGGTAGAATCAACCAAGCATCAATCACCAATGGATCCCGGTATTCAACAATACATTTGAATAACCCCCTTTTCCTTAAAGTCGAATGTTTACTTTATTATTCCTAGGGTTTGGAAAGTTTTTTTTTTTTTTGCTTTAGTTTACCCCTAATTTAGACAGAACAATTGGACATTTGCACTCTCTGGATATAGGCCCAAATGGCTATGGAGTGCAGTCAAATAGTATACACACATTTTGACAAAAGTTGTTTTCCAATTCTAAAAACCATATATTGTTAGGCTAGGTTGTGTTATATTCAATTGGATTAAGTTGGTTAGGGTTTGGTAGGTTTCATAATATTTTCAGCAAACAATCTTGTATACAATATACAATACAGGGGTCCCAGTAGTAATATAGTCGGGTTTGTTCTAGACTCACAATTGAGAATTCTGGGTTTGAATCCCGGGCAGGACAGAAATGGTTGGGCACATTTCCTATCTTGAGGTTATCTTGGTTATCTTGAGATGATTTCAGGGCTTTAGTGTCCCCGCGGCCCGGTCCTCGACCAGGCCTCCACCCCCAGGAAGCAGCCCGTGACAGCTGACTAACTCCCAGGTACCTATTTACTGCTAGGTAACAGGGGCATTCAGGGTGAAAGAAACTTTGCCCATTTGTTTCTGCCTCATGCGGGAATCGAACCCGCGCCACAGAATTACGAGTCCTGCGCGCTATCCACCAGGCTACGAGGCCCCTAATGAGGCCCCTATCACCTAATGTTCCTGTTAACCTAGCAACAAGTAGGTACGCAGGAATTAGTCACCTTTATATAATAATGTGTATAAACACACACACTAGCTGCCTGTCCCCCAACACAATGAATTATTATTATGACTTGCACTATTCATATACTGTACTATAAGAAAATAATGCAATATATCGGGCTCAAAAACTAAACAAAATTAGATTTACTAGTAGAGTAGTTATGACATCACCAATAATTTAAAACTCACACAGCTCATGCCAGGTTTTAGACTGCACTATAATATGTAGTAGAAACAATGACACAGTATAGGCTTCATATTTTATTACAGAATTTCAAATTAACTTTTAATGCCCCAATGGATTTAGAGGGGGTGAAATGTACGTAAAGTCCTCTCACACACTTTTAAAACAGGCATATCTAATGTTATGCAAATGTTAATAATTTCACAGATGATCTGTGGTTAAAATGTGAAGGCACTCGAGTAATTCCTTAATACAGCATTCGTTCTTGCTACTACAGCTGGCATGCTCAGCAGCCAATAAAATAATGTATGGTAATGTGATAATGCTGGCAAGGTACTCACGTAAGGGTGGCGAGGTACTCACGTAAGGGTGGCGAGGTACTCACGTAAGGGTGGCGAGGTACTCACGTAAGGGTGGCGAGGTACTCACGTAAGGGTGGCGAGGTACTCACGTAAGGGTGGCAAGGTACTCACGTAAGGCTGGCGAGGTACTCACGTAAGGCTGGCGAGGTTCTCACGTAAGGCTGGCGAGGTACTCACGTAAGGGTGGCGAGGTACTCACGTAAGGGTGGCGAGGTACTCACGTAAGGCTGGCAAGGTACTCACGTAAGGCTGGCAAGGTACTCACGTAAGGCTGGCAAGGTACTCACGTAAGGCTGGCAAGGTACTCACGTAAAGCTGGCAAGGTACTCACGTAAGGGTCCCAGCGGTCTCCGTGGTGTAGTGGTAAGACACTCGCCTGGCGTTCCGCGAGCGCTATGTCATGGGTTCGTATCCTGGCCGGGGAGGATTTACTGGGCGCAATTCCTTAACTGTAGCCTCTGTTTAACGCAACAGTAAAATGTGTACTTGGATGAAAAAACGATTCTTCGCGGCAGGGGATCGTATTCCAGGGACCATAGGATTAAGGACTTGCCCGAAACCCTACGCGTACTAGCGGCTGTACAAGAATGTAACAACTCTTGTATATATCTCAAAAAAAAAAAAAAAGGTGGCGAGGTACTCACGTAAGGGTGGCGAGGTACTCACGTAAGGGTGGCGAGGTACTCACCTAAGGCTGGCAAGGTACTCACCTAAGGCTGGCAAGGTACTCACCTAAGGCTGGCAAGGTACTCACGTAAGGCTGGCGAGGTACTCACGTAAGGCTGGCGAGGTACTCACGTAAGGGTGGCGAGGTACTCACGTAAGGCTGGCGAGGTACTCACGTAAGGGTGGCGAAGTACTCACGTAAGGGTGGCGAGGTACTCACGTAAGGGTGGCGAGGTACTCACGTAAGGGTGGCGAGGTACTCACGTAAGGGTGGCGAGGTACTCACGTAAGGGTGGCGAGGTACTCATGTAAGGGTGGCGAGGTACTCACGTAAGGCTGGCGAGGTACTCACATAAGGCTGGCGAGGTACTCACATAAGGCTGGCAAGGTACTCACATAAGGCTGGCAAGGTACTCACGGGAGAGTACAAGAGGACGTGCCGTGGGAGGCTGGCAGGAGGTAAACACACACACGCTTCCCGCCACACACTTTCATAACACGCCGTAAGGGTAGTCAACCTTCCTCATCGCCGCTCATTATCCCATATTCTTCTCTTTAATTCCATGTATGACCATCTGTTATGTCACATGGGGGTTATTAGATGAACTCATAGCTAGTTCTTGATCTATATTATGTAATCCTTCACACAGAGCAGTGTAACTGCATACTATAGCTGCTGGGGTACCTATAACAGCTTACCCTCTTAATAAAAAAATAAAAATATAATAGAAAATAGGGCTACTCTTTAACAAACCTATCGTGGTGTATTCTCCCTAATCTAATCTAAAATAACCTATCCTAACCCAACTAGCCAAAATGTCAGATAATTTGTGCATAGTATATGTACCAGCGCTGTTCAAGATGAGTGACGTCACTCGGACGACCACATGTTCGGCTTGGGCTGCCAGAAAGCCTAACTTTGTTCTTCTTGGACACTACTCCATTCTCCAAGTCGACTCCAAGTGATTCGCCAAGTATCACACCTGATGTGCCTTCTCCAGAAACTACTTCAAATCAAATTTTGTTGAACTCAATCAAACCAGTTGCGACCATCAATCACTTGATGGAAAAGACTAACAGCATACTATAGCTGCTGGGTACCTATAACAGCTTACCCTCTAGTTAAAAAATAAAAATGTAAATAAACTAGCCTTTGTGGAGCCTTCTGCTCCACAGAATATCAACCATTCTGTGGTTGATATTCCCCACACACTTCCCGCCACACACCTTCATAACACGCCGTAAGGGTAGTCGTCCTTCGTCATCGCCAGATAGTATATGTACACTTTATATATACACTTTTTATCTGATGAAAGTGTAAATATACTATACACAATTGACAAAGGCTGTTGGGCCTGACAGAATCTTACCGTGGATACTAAAAGTAGGTGCAGAGGCACTAAGTGTGCCACTCAATGGTGTATAACAGGTCACTGGAAACAGGAGACCTACCGGAAAGTTGGAAGACAGGTAATGTAGTCTCAATATAAAAAAAGGATGACAGGCAAGAGGCACTGAACTATAGGCCAGTCTCCCTAACTTGTATACCATGCAAGGTGATGGAGAAGATCGTGAGGAAATAAGGCTCGTAAAGCATCTAGAGGGAAATAATTTTGTGACACACCACCAACATGGGTTCAGAGATGGTAAATCGTGCCTCACAGGTTTAATAGAATTCTATGACCAAGCAACAAAAATTAGGCAAGAAAGAGAAGGGTGGGCAGACTGCATTTTCTTGGACTGTCAGAAAGTCTTTGACACAGTAATCCATAAAAGGCTGTTACAAAAGTTGGAGCAACAGGCAAGAGTAAAAGGTAAGGTGCTCCAGTGGATAAGGGAGTATCTAAGCAACAGGAAACAACGAGTAACTGTGACGGGGGGAGACATCAGAGTGGCGAGATGTCACCAGCGGAATCCTACAGAGCTCTGTACTTGGACCCATCCTGTTTCTGATATATGTAAATGATCTTCCAGAGGGTATAGACTCATTAGTCTCAATGTTTGCTGATGATGCAAAAATTATGAGAAGAATCAAGACAGATGATGATGGACAGAGACTACAGAATGACCTGGACAAACTGGACGAATGGTCTAGGAAATGGCTGCTAAAGTTCAACTCAAGAAAGTGTAAGGTAATGAAATTAGGCGAAGGGAGCAGAAGACTGAACACAAGGTACCATCTGGGAGGTGAAATCCTGCAAGAGTCAAGTAGAGAGAAAGATCTGGTGGTTGATATCACACTGAACCTGTCCCCAGAGGCCCACATCAAAAGGAAATCATCAGCGGCATATGCTAGGTTGGCCAACATAAGACCTGCCTTTAGAAACTTGTGTAAGGAATCGTTCAGGACCCTGTATACCACTTATGTCAGACCAATCCTGGAATATGCAGCTCCTGCCTGGAGTCCATATCTAGTTAAACACAAGACAAAGTTAGAGAAGATTCAGCGGTATGCCACCAGGCTCGTCCCGGAACTGGGAGGTATGATCTACGAGGAAAGGCTGAAGGAGCTGAACCTCACGTCCCTGGAAAACAGAAGAGTAAGGGGAGACATGATAACCACCTACAAAATTATCTGGGGAATTGACAGGGTGGACAAAGACAAACTCTTCAGCACGGTGGAACACGAACAAGGGACACAGGTGGAAACTTAGTACCCAAATGAGCTACAGAGACATTAGAAAATAATGTTTTCAGTGTCAGAGTAGTTAGTAAATGGAATGCACTAGGAAGTGGTGTGGTGGAGGCTGACTCCATACATAGTTTCAAATGTACAAATGATAGAGCCCAGTAGGCTCAGGAATCTGTACACAGTTGAGAGGCGGGACCAAAGAGACAAAGCTCAACCCCTGCAAGCACAAATAGGTGAGTACTGCATGTGAGAGAGAGTATGTATGTATGTATGTATGTATATTATATATACATACATACTGTCAATCAACACCAGTTGATTGACGGGACCAAAGAGACTCAAAGAACTCAAAGTACCTCATACTATTTGGTCAGAAACCATTGATTACAGGGCAATCACATATATAATGTTGGAGAGTATGTCCCAGCTCTGGTTTACATAGTTTACAATTGGGATGTTAACCATTGGGAGATTCATTACCTGCAGCCACCTGCTATAGATATCGATATCCCAGCCTAATACTGGCAATTACAATGTCCCACTACTGTCTAGTGGATGTTTTCTGCTGCCTGTACATATAATTTTCGGTTCTAAGCATGTCATAGCTCTAATCCTAATTTCCATCACTAATTTCCTGAAATGCTGCTGTTTTTTTCCAACAGAATTGAACTGTTGAGCGAGTTTTGTTGTTGTTGTTTATTTTTTCAACCATGTCCAGATCTAACTCAATTTCAGGCTTATCACATACAGTTTTAGCTGCCTTGTCCGTGTCATCATGCTGGACAACACGTGAGATGGGATTCATACAAATGAGACTCTGAAACTCTTGTTCTGTGTATTAATAATGTTGTTTATAATGGATGTTACAACATTTATAGTATATATTTTGCATGTTGGGTTTTTATGTGCTGGAAGAGCTGGGAGGGGGGGGGGGGCAGGAGCTGGCTAGGGTTAATATGTTGAATTTTACAAAATAGGAGTAAAGCTGTTTGTACAAAAATTTGTCATATATGTTTTATAAGATAAGTAGGTTTGATATTGGTCTACAATTGTTTATTATTATTTTTATGATTCGTTTTGTCGAGGACAGGCAGCCTGTGTATATATATGCGTTAGGCTTATTTTGATGTCCCACCCTAAGGTCGAACTACTGACCCTCCCCCAGGATACAAGTCCATAAGTTTAAGGACAAAGTGTTTCATGTCTACAGTTGGGAGTATAAGCCTTCACCACACAGGTCAAGAGGGATCCTCCACAAGAGCAAGGTAAAAATAATACAAAGAGACAAGTTGCGGAAGCGCACTAAGATATCTTTTACAGGGAACATAAGCATTATGTCATTGACCTGTCTTGACATGTTCTGAACGCTCCCTCCCACAGTTTATCCATAGTGTGCATCTGTGTGTGTTCCATGTACTACCTGTGTTAGGAGGCCAAATATACAATATTTAGTTTACATTTTTAAATTTTTCCCCGAGGAGCGAGTTTATTGGGCATCGTCACTCATCCTGTTAATGGACACACCACCATAGCAGCATGTATGACACTCCCCAATAGGAAGAAAACCCGCTGGATTGTTCATCCTGTCACTTGTACCCAGACACAGCTGGGACTTGCTTAACTGTCTCAAGCGAACAGTGAGGTCTATCAGAATGAGTTGGTCACTTGTGGCTTATACATATTTCGAACAATGGAATCAGTTATGATCGTATAATTCATTGTGTCGGGGAACAGGCAGTCATTGTATATATATATATTTGGCTTATATAGTCTAATGTCGAACTCTGACCCTCCCCTGGATGAAACCCCACAGCAAGCCGACTAACTCCTGGGGTACCTATTTACTGCTAGATGGACAGGGGCATTAGGTGATAGGAAACGCCCCTAACCATTTCTTTCCCGCCAGGGATTCGAATTCCCGATTGTCACTAGAGAACGAACCCGACTGTTGTGTAGATAAAGGTTTGTGTACAATTAGGTATATCTCTTGCAATCTCAGCTAATGACTTCTAATTAGGAAAATTCGCCCCTTTGTACATTTGCCACATTCGACTACTATATACTGTATTATGGAATCATTCGCCTATCTGTATGATGTACAAATTCATAATATTCCTTGATACTGCTTTGAGTATCAAAGCAGTATCAGATACTGCTTTGAGTCCTTATCTGACCTCACCTGGGCCTATATCGTGAAGTACTGTACTTTCCATTTTTAATGTGTTATCCGGTTTTGATTTATTTATTTATTTATTTATTTATATACAAGAAGGTTTAGTTTAGTTCATTTATTATACAAGAAGGTACATTGGGTTTGTGAGGATACATAACATAGTATTTACAATCTTGTAAAGCCACTAGTACGCGCAGCGTTTCGGGCAGGTCCTTAATCTAACAGATAATTTTAAGTACGTAAATTCTGTTCTCTCGGTCAGTACTGTGCTGCATGTACTTATTGTTTTGTAGATTAAGTTACCTGTCAACCGAGGCAAGACTATTATCATCTAAATTAATTACCATTGCCAATTAATTGTAATTGATTTACGTGTCAATTATTTCCATTGTAATTTATTCTTCATTGACAATTATTTGTTAATAAAGTTTCACATGGGTATATTTAATTTGTTTGTTATTGTATAATTAAACGCTTAGCTAATTTATTAAAACATATAATTAATACAATTTCTATCACCATTCTAAGTTTGAGTTTCGCTTGACACAGAACAATTATTGTGTATAATTAGGTGTGTGAGGCTCATAACCTAAGATCCGTATGTAGCATAACTGTAGTTAATTATGATCTATAAGTAGTTGAATTAAGATTTCTATGCTCCAAAATTGTGGTATCTTATTTCTGCATGTTACGTGATTGGTAAAGTAACTTAAGATGTGTATTATGGTTGGTGAGGTAACCTCTGGGGTCTACATGTAATGCATTTGGTGAAGGTGACTTTAGATGTGTGTTGGTGGGTTGTAGTCACATAGATGTGTACATAGCTGGGGTGTCTAGGTCACCTAGGATCTATACTAAGCGTGATCTGTGAGGTGGCTGGAGTCATCTTGAGATCATTGTTATCGGTGGAGGCACAAGTCGGTGGGCCGGGAGGGCGAGGGTGGTGGTGGCAGCAGCCGTACACCTTCTTGATGAGGAGCGCCAGCAGGAGAGGAAGGGGCGTGAAGGTGGCCACCCCTACAGGCACTACTGCTGTCACATCCCCCAGCGGCGAGTACTTCTCCAGAGCCACCTGCAGCCGTACCGGAGTGTTAATAACATACATGCTATGTATATACTTACACATTGATATATTAACATATTATGTTAATGAAAATATAGAGCGCTGAAGATGCCAGTGTGCCACTGATGTTGTAAAAACTGTGCTGAACAACAACTTTGAACGAAGAGCTTTGAACGGGAGTGTAACCTCCACTGTGGACGAGACCATATAGTTATTCCCGATGACTCAGCAACCCACTGAAATTGAAATTGAGATTGAAATAAGTTTATTGAGGTAAAATACACACAAAGGAATGAGGTAGCTCAAGCTATTCTCACCCCAACAATTCTATACGTTCATCCATATATAGACACACATCACAAACAATAAACATATTACCGAACATTCTGAGAGATAAACATATACATTTCCTCCTTTACACAGCAACCCACTGTGATAAGAGTATACACTGATGAAGCGGACTGGGGCGCCGCCATAACACAAACTCATTAAGAGGTGTTAAAAGGACTCGTAAGACATCCCTCCAAATACAACAGCACGAGTCCTGTCGGGCGGGGGAGTTAGTGTGGTGTTCAGCTGCGGGACACTGTGTGTGTGTGTGTGTGTGTGTGTGTGTGTGTGTGTGTGTGTGTGTGTGTGTGTGTGTGTGTGTGTGTGTGTGTGTGTGTGTGTGTGTGTGTGTGTGTGTGTGTGTGTGTGTGTGTGTGTGTGTGTGTGTGTGTGTGTGTGTGTGTGTGTGTGTGTGTGTGTGTGTGTGTGTGTGTGTGTGTGTGTGTGTGTGTGTGTGTGTGTGTGTGTGTGTGTGTGTGTGTGTGTGTGTGTGTGTGTGTGTGTGTGTGTGTGTGTGTGTGTGTGTGTGTGTGTGTGTGTGTGTGTGTGTGTGTGTGTGTGTGTGTGTGTGTGTGTGTGTGTGTGTGTGTGTGTGTGTGTGTGTGTGTGTGTGTGTGTGTGTGTGTGTGTGTGTGTGTGTGTGTGTGTGTGTGTGTGTGTGTGTGTGTGTGTGTGTGTGTGTGTGTGTGTGTGTGTGTGTGTGTGTGTGTGTGTGTGTGTGTGTGTGTGTGTGTGTGTGTGTGTGTGTGTGTGTGTGTGTGTGTGTGTGTGTGTGTGTGTGTGTGTGTGTGTGTGTGTGTGTGTGTGTGTGTGTGTGTGTGTGTGTGTGTGTGTGTGTGTGTGTGTGTGTGTGTGTGTGTGTGTGTGTGTGTGTGTGTGTGTGTGTGTGTGTGTGTGTGTGTGTGTGTGTGTGTGTGTGTGTGTGTGTGTGTGTGTGTGTGTGTGTGTGTGTGTGTGTGTGTGTGTGTGTGTGTGTGTGTGTGTGTGTGTGTGTGTGTGTGTGTGTGTGTGTGTGTGTGTGTGTGTGTGTGTGTGTGTGTGTGTGTGTGTGTGTGTGTGTGTGTGTGTGTGTGTGTGTGTGTGTGTGTGTGTGTGTGTGTGTGTGTGTGTGTGTGTGTGTGTGTGTGTGTGTGTGTGTGTGTGTGTGTGTGTGTGTGTGTGTGTGTGTGTGTGTGTGTGTGTGTGTGTGTGTGTAAAGGCGTGTTTAGGGAAGAAAAGTCTTCTTCGTGTGGAGTGCTTCCTGGGCGTAGAGAGAGAGAGAGAGATGTCCACGGAAGGAGTCTGACCTGATCCTGGTGGATATTTACTACAATGAGCAGTTTGTCTTGTTAGTTTCAACTCGGTGTGTTCGTAATCTACATTGTCCCCATTGCTTCACTGTCTGCCAGCACGACTGTCCGTCATTCGCTTAGCAAATTTGCCTTGGATTAGGAGTAGTAAAAAAAGACATAAATATCCGGTGTCTCGCCTTAACACGTCCGTCATTACATTTCTCAGCACTTTGTCATGGGTTCGTATCCTGGCCGGGGAGGATTTACTGGGCGCAAATCCTTGACTGTAGCCTCCGTTTAACGCAACAGTATAATGTGTACTTGGTTGTAACAACGATTCTTCGTGGGGGTCGTATTCCAGGGACCTGCCCGAAACGCTACGCGTACTGGTGCTGTACAAGAATGTAACAACTCTTGTATATATCTCAAAAAAGATGAAGATAGCAAGAGACTACAAGATGACCAACAAACTGAAAAAATAATTCAACAAATGGCTGCTAGAGTTTAACCCAAGAATCATTTATGTTGTGTTGGAAATGTTCTAACACTAATGCATCATTTCTTGTATTATAATACATCATCATTGTATTAATCGTAGTGATTACTAACCCTACTAATTTGTAGAATTAATCCAAAATTAATGTTTCCATTGTAAGGCCATATTTGCCAGATTCTTCCTAGTCAGAGTGAGGACGTGAGGAACGACTGGCTGAAACATGAATTCTTTCCACATTTAGTTGAATCTAAAACAGAGTCCAATTAATTACGTTCCTTTACTAAGAATAATCGTTTATTTACCTAGTATATTATTGCTTACTGAACTCGTTCATTTAGGTGTAGTAACAACTACAGCGGAAATTTTTTTACAGTGCAAAGCAATTTATATAATATTTCTTTCATTTATTTTGTGCAGTCTTAATAAGCTGACTTGCACTATGCAAAAATATATTGCGCCTTAATATAAATATCAGTGCCATAAATATCTGTCACAAGTCTTCACTTCTCTGATTAATTATAAGTAAATAAAATACTTGATGCATACAGATACAATGCATACAGTGTTCACTAACATACTATGCATACAGAGTTCACTAACTTACTATGCATACAGTGTTCCTGTATTCATACAGTGTCCCTGTATGAATACAGTGTCCCTGTATGCATACAGTGTCCCTGTATGCATACAGTGTCCCTGTATGTATACGGGCTTGTGAAGGAAGGGGTGGCGAGAATAAGGAGTAAGGCTCACTTTGATGACTCCAATAGCGAGGCCAGAGTTCTGAATGCCCGTCTCGATGCTGATGGCAAGGACCTCCTGCCAGGGGCGACCAATCATCTTAGCCAGCAGTCCTCCGAAGATGAAGCCGAGCCCCGGGAGCGCCACCCCCGCCAACATCACCTGCAAAACCATACTTATCTCATCACAGACGATTCCACTCCACAATTATGCACATCATGTACCAAATATCCAGGTACTAAACTTACCACAATATTCGTATCATAGAATTCTTGCCTCAAAATTTAGTAATACTGTATTATAATACTCTTTTTTTTATCTTTTTGAGAGACTGACCTCTCACTTTGCCACAACTGACTTCAAATGCCAAATCGCAGAGTGTCTGAAAGTGCACTATGGTGAGGAATGTACCCTGGGGTGTGCGTTCAGTGTACAGAGGTGGGTGCGCAAAGGCTATCTCCCTTTTAACTTGACTAAACCCTAGCTTGTTTAGCTAGGGTTAAATTTAAACCCTTATTTTTAGCTAGGCTTTAAGGGTTTAAGAGCCAAATAGAGCCCTTAATACCAGTAGCATAATAATGTGCGACGATAGTTATTTACACAGTGTGTTGAGTCAGTGAGGAGATAGAGAGGAGATAGAGGGAGTATACCATTTCCATTTTCAGAACCCATACAAAAAGTAGGCATCGGTCATCTTGACAGGCTGCTAGTGAGTTTCTGCCTCAGGAAATGTATAGGAGAGTAGGTCAGGCCATCTCCAACAGTCAACTGGGGGATCGGTGACACACCACCATGACGTTACGAGCCACATCACCACGGGTGAGTGACTCATTATGCTTAGACGTCTGCAGAGTAGCCGATCACTGATTGGCAAATCCTAGAGACAAAGGCTGAAGCTGACTAGAGCGTGTTAACATGCCCGGTCAAGCTTCCCAGCCAAGGACACCAGTCCTGGGAGACTTGGGTGCACTTTGTTAACGGCCAGTCGCAGACGTCTGGAATCCTGTGTGCAAAACATTTTCGTCAAATTAAGTGGAGTGGCTGTAGAGAGATACCCTGCACGAGGCACATCTAGAAGCAAAAGACTGTGTGTTTAATTCACTGTGTCAGGGGACAGGAAGCCAGAATGTATTCATACACGTTAGACTTTTTAATTGAAGTCCACACCCTTCCCCCCCTTCCCCTCCCAGGGTCAAATTACCCAGGATGGTAATTCGACCCTGGGTCGAATTACAAGCTGACTAACTTTACTCACTCGATCCTGAATTTATCTGAGAGTTACGATCTTCCCAAGTGGCCTCGACCAGGACAGGTATATGTATACGCTTGTTTAAGTGTGTGTGTATACGCTTGTTTTAGTATGTGTATACGCTTGTTTTAGTGTGTATACGCTTGTTTTAGTGTGTGTACGCTTGTTTTAGTGTGTATACGCTTGTTTTAGTGTGTATACGCTTGTTTTAGTGTGTATACGCTTGTTTTAGTGTGTATACGCTTGTTTTAGTGTGTATACGCTTGTTTTAGTGTGTGTACGCTTGTTTTAGTGTGTATACGCTTGTTTTAGTGTGTATACGCTTGTTTTAGTGTGTGTACGCTTGTTTTAGTGTGTATACGCTTGTTTTAGTGTGTGTACGCTTGTTTTAGTGTGTATACGCTTGTTTTAGTGTGTATACGCTTGTTTTAGTGTGTGTACGCTTGTTTTAGTGTGTGTACGCTTGTTTTAGTGTGTGTACGCTTGTTTTAGTGTGTGTACGCTTGTTTTAGTGTGTGTACGCTTGTTTTAGATTCAGATTCAGATTCAGATGTTTATTCAGGTAAGGTATATACATACAAGTGATGTTACATTAATGGATTGATATATAGATAGAGCTAGTACATACAATGCCTAAAGCCACTATTACGCAATGCGTTTCGGGCAAATGTGTGTGTATATGTATTTAGTGTGTATACGCTTGTTTTAGTGTGTATACTCTTTTTTTTGAGATATATACAAGAGTTGTTACATTCTTGTACAGCCACTAGTACGCGTAGCGTTTCGGGCAAGTCCTTAATCCTATGGTCCCTGGAATACGATCCCCTGCCGTGAAGAATCGTTTTTTCATCCAAGTACACATTTTACTGTTGCGTTAAACAGAGGCTACAGTTAAGGAATTGCGCCCAGTAAATCCTCCCCGGCCAGGATACGAACCCATGACATAGCGCTCGCGGAACGCCAGGCGAGTGTCTTACCACTACACCACGGAGACTGTTTTAGTGCGTGTAACATGTGAGTGTTGTTTATGAACATTCCAAAATGATTATCAGGAGACAGTAATATTCGGTTTCAAACTATACTACCACAAGACAAGATAACAAAAATCTGTGGACAAATTACCTTCCAGGTGAAGTAGTAGAAGATGTACAAGTTGACGTAGACACCAAAGGTGGAGAAGACGAGGATGAAGATGACAGCAATTGGCGTGAGGAGCTTCTTGAGGAAGTGGGCTGTCTTGGGCATGTATCGCCGGATGAGTATACCCACCATGCATGGTGCCAGGAGCCCCACTACCATGCCCACCATCGTCCCGTATGGCAGTCTCTCAAAGTTACCTTCTAAAGCAAAAATATCGCGTCACCGATGAAGCCTTAACTAGTTTTAAAATAAAATAAACCTCACAGTAGATTTATATCCATGTGGGACCCCAACTGCCGCCGGGTGCCCAGAGATGAACAGTGAGGAGACGGTGCCCAGTCGATCTTTTGTCTAATACTTAACCCAACCAGAACCTCAGTCAGGGGGTTCTCGGTCTGTTGTCAGTTACACCTAATACACAAACTTGGACTTTTCAGTCGGGTAACAGATGGGTGGGAAATTATAATAATATAATATTTTAAATTTAATTAATATACATATGTATCAGGATTAGTATATAATTTTAATGGTGGCTTTTGTTCCTTGACCTATATACTGTACATTTCAACCCATCCTCCACAATTATAGCGCATATATAGGCTCCTACACAAAGACAAGCGATGATATTTTGATCTTTTGACACTTTTTAACCAAAATACAATGTATGGAACAAAAAAGTATAGACTATGCTGACTTTACCTGAGGGCCACTGACACTAGTGGCCTCGACGATGACAGGAAGCCGGCGGCTTGTCGATGGTTTCTCCTCATTTGCCTTGATAATCTTTTCCAGCTAGATTTTGAAATTCAGCAGTCTTGATTTAAGCTATCTAGGTCTAAGCAACTTATCCTAGGTTTAATCTAACACATCATACGCCTGTTATTGTCCATATATGTGTTGTCGTACAGTGAGGATGAATGTTTGCTTAGGCCTAGATAGCCTAGACTGTTATATTTGTTTTCTGTTTCTTACATTTTGTTCCGGTTTACAATTTGCAATTGTACAAAATGTCGAGTGTTAACTATGTAGTCACGTTGGAAAATGGGATGGTATTTTTGTATGTGGCAAAGTTTGGCAAACATGAAGGTGCTGCCGACGTCCTCTGGCCTCAATTAGCACAGAGAACTGCTAGTCAGGGGCTGTGTCCGGCTTTACCTGTCTCTGTGGCTGATAACTTTTTTTTAGCGTGAGTCTTCCGAAGTTAGCGTTATTTACACTAAGTACCAGCTATATGTTAACTCCTATAAAGTTAGCTTTATATTACACACGTGCTGGTCGTGTGAGAGTTATAGATGGACCTTGTATTTTTAACTATTGTGAGATAGTGGGGATGGGCAAGACAGCATTACGGATACGAAGATTTGGTTCAAGATATTACATTAATTACATGGTGTTTCATCCAGTTGGAAGATGGCCTTTTATAACAGCCGGACATTTCTTGCAATTATTGAAAAAACTTGGCATGTTTAGGTATAAATTTCCTAGCTACCCCATCTAGGTAGAAACAGAAAACTAGACATCAGCGAGGCCCTACACATCAAAAAGTCAAGACCAGCAATCAACAACCAGTTAACGCATAATTACATTTTACCCACTTCAAGACCCTGAAAAAACAGAGACAGTAGAAGCAAGAACATAGGCTATGAATAATAGCCTATTAATATCCATTATGTTTCATCCACTTGTTCAACTCAATCACGTCCTGTACCACCTCATCCCAAGAGAATATAAGCTTTTACTAAAGCATTGCAAATTTGTCTTTGAAAATGTAAGGAGTGCCTTGCGAAACGCATCCCTAGGCGTCAGACCATATTAATGGTGAAAATTAACTTAGGAGAGTTTTTTTTTTCAACTTCCCTCGACAGTGAAGAAAAACATAAGAAATATTGAGAAGATTCGTGTCAGACAGAATTATTAATCTTACCCTTTCGGTCATATTCAACAACATATGTTTACAAGAAAGACTGCTACCAAAATATACCAGAACGCACTTCTCGGCCTACTATGCAAGGCCCGATTTGCCTAATAAGCAGAGTGATTTTCTTTATTTTCAATAAATTGTTTCCTATTGGTTTATTTTAAATATTATTATTATATTATATTAAGATCAAACATTATTGACCTATGTTAGTTTAGGTTAGGTCAGGTTAGGTAGGGTTGGTTAGGTTCGGTCATATATCTATGTTAGTTTTAACTCAAATTTAAAAAAAATTTGCTCATACATAATGAAATGAATAGCTCTCTCATTTCATAAGAAATTAAAAAAAAAATATTTAAATTCTTGGAAACTTGGCTTATTAGGCAAATCGGGCCTTGCATAGTAGGCCATGAACTGCATTCTGGCTTTTTCAAGGTGAAGAAAAAAGTGAATTACTATAGAATGTATTACACTTATTATACAATTGCACAACGTTTCGAATATTGACCAGACCACACACTAGAAGGTGAAGGGACGACGGTATATATATATATACATATATATATATATATATATATATATATATATATATATATATATATATATATATATATATATATATATATATATATATATATATTGGTGTATACTGGCAGCAGGTTTTCTTTCAAGCATGTTTCATTGAATATGACCGCATATTCTGTATTTATTATTTTCTGGTTTAGGGCTTCTATCCCTCTAACTATTTTCTTAGCATCAGGGCTTAATTGGAATAGGAGTTCTCCAAAACTCATTTTCGTACTTTTAAGGTGAAGAAAAGAAGTGATTTACTATAGAGTGTATTACACTTATTTGTATAATTTGCACGACGTTTCGAACCTCCATGGTTCATTCTCAAGTGAACAGATCTTACAATACTAGTTGATTTTATACCCGCATTAGGTCAGGTGATAATACAATGAAGGTGAAAAACATGGGGGGATACATAAGGGATAAACATAGGGGCTGCAGAAGGCTTATTGGCCCATACGAGGCATCTCCTATCTAAACACAAAGATTAATCCAGTGTAATTGGCCTGTTATGTTGGACATTGTCTTCTGTGTTGGCATCGATATGTTCTTGTCTTGTCCTTACTCTCATGGTGGGTAGAGTAAATAGTTCCGTGATTTGGGTGTTCATGGTAGGTCGCTCTATTCTTATGTGAATTGCCTCAAGAATTTGTAATCTTCTTGAATCTTGGGTTTTGTCTATTATGCAAGTATTCTTGTTCAACATTTCTCTTGTTAGAGTAATGTCATGGGCTTGTCTCATGTGATTCCTAGGGGCACCAGATTGAAGATGGCATGTCAAACGCCTCGTCAGCTTGGTCGACGTCATACCTATGTACTTACATTGAAGGTTACATCCTTCGTGGGGGCAAGTGTACATGTATACAACGCTTGACTGCTGTAGAGGGTTCTCCGTCGGCTTCGGGCTGTTTTTGATAAGGAGTTCGGAAGTCTTCTTGGTTTGTAGAATATTATCAGGTTTATATTTTGGTTAGGAGTAGTGCTTTTTACTCCTTTACGGATTATTTCTTTCATTATTCTTTCCTCTTTTATATGTTCACTGTGCATGGTTGATTTGTAATATAATTTTATTGGGGGTGTTGTGGTTTCTGTTCTAGGTTCTGAATTATACCAACGGTCCAAGTGTCTTCTTATAGCAGCGTTTATTTCCGCGTTGCTATATCCGTTGTTCACCAATACCTGAGTTACTCTTTCAAACTCTCTACTCACGTTGCTCCATTCAGAGCAGTGGGTAAGCGCTCGACGAATATAAGCATTGAGAACACTGGCTTTGTATCTTTGGGGGCACTCACTTCTACCGTTCAGGCATAATCCTATGTTGGTGGGCTTGGTATATACGTTGGTGCTTAAAGAGGTTCCTGTTTTTGTTATTAGTACATCCAAGAATGGCAGACTGTTATTTTCACTATTTTCATGTGTAAATCGGAGTACTGACTCTCTCTCTAGGTGTCTTTTTAGGTCAATTAGTTCATCTGAGTCTTTTACTATTACGAATATGTCATCTACATAACGGCAGTATACAGTTGGTTTTGTCTGCTTGTCTTTTTGTCTGCCCTTTCATCAGTCCACAAGGAGACATGTATTTACAAATAGACGGAGTAGCAATGGGCTCCCCCTTAGGAGTTCTATTTGCTAATTTTTATATGGGAACCATCGAAGATAGGGTCTTCAGTAGCAGACAAAAACCAACTGTATACTGCCGTTATGTAGATGACATATTCGTAATAGTAAAAGACTCAGATGAACTAATTGACCTAAAAAGACACCTAGAGAGAGAGTCAGTACTCCGATTTACACATGAAAATAGTGAAAATAACAGTCTGCCATTCTTGGATGTACTAATAACAAAAACAGGAACCTCTTTAAGCACCAACGTATATACCAAGTCCACCAACATAGGATTATGCCTGAACGGTAGAAGTGAGTGCCCCCAAAGATACAAAGCCAGTGTTCTCAATGCTTATATTCGTCGAGCGCTTACCCACTGCTCTGAATGGAGCAACGTGAGTAGAGAGTTTGAAAGAGTAACTCAGGTATTGGTGAACAACGGATATAGCAACGCGGAAATAAACGCTGCTATAAGAAGACACTTGGACCGTTGGTATAATTCAGAACCTAGAACAGAAACCACAACACCCCCAATAAAATTATATTACAAATCAACCATGCACAGTGAACATATAAAAGAGGAAAGAATAATGAAAGAAATAATCCGTAAAGGAGTAAAAAGCACTACTCCTAACCAAAATATAAACCTGATAATATTCTACAAACCAAGAAGACTTCCGAACTCCTTATCAAAAACAGCCCGAAGCCGACGGAGAACCCTCTACAGCAGTCAAGCGTTGTATACATGTACACTTGCCCCCACGAAGGATGTAACCTTCAATGTAAGTACATAGGTATGACGTCGACCAAGCTGACGAGGCGTTTGACATGCCATCTTCAATCTGGTGCCCCTAGGAATCACATGAGACAAGCCCATGACATTACTCTAACAAGAGAAATGTTGAACAAGAATACTTGCATAATAGACAAAACCCAAGATTCAAGAAGATTACAAATTCTTGAGGCAATTCACATAAGAATAGAGCGACCTACCATGAACACCCAAATCACGGAACTATTTACTCTACCCACCATGAGAGTAAGGACAAGACAAGAACATATCGATGCCAACACAGAAGACAATGTCCAACATAACAGGCCAATTACACTGGATTAATCTTTGTGTTTAGATAGGAGATGCCTCGTATGGGCCAATAAGCCTTCTGCAGCCCCTATGTTTATCCCTTATGTATCCCCCCATGTTTTTCACCTTCATTGTATTATCACCTGACCTAATGCGGGTATAAAATCAACTAGTATTGTAAGATCTGTTCACTTGAGAATGAACCATGGAGGTTCGAAACGTCGTGCAAATTATACAAATAAGTGTAATACACTCTATAGTAAATCACTTCTTTTCTTCACCTTAAAAGTACGAAAATGAGTTTTGGAGAACTCCTATTCCAATATATATATATATATATATATATATATATATATATATATATATATATATATATATATATATATATATATATATATATATGTCGTACCTAGTAGCCAGAACGTACTTCTCTGCCTAGTATGCAAGGCCCGATTTGCCTAATAAGCCAAGTTTTCACGAAATAATTGTTTTTCGACTACCTAACCTAACCTAACCTAACTTTTTCGGCTACCTAACCTAACCTAACCTAACCTATAAAGATAGGTTAGGTTAGGTAGGGTTGGTTAGGTTCGGTCATATATCTACGTTAATTTTAACTCCAATAAAAAAAATTCACCTCATACATAATGAAATGGGTAGCTTTATCATTTCATAAGAAAAAAATTAGAGAAAATATAATAATTCAGGAAAACTTGGCTTATTAGGCAAATCGGGCCTTGCATAGTAGGCTGAGAAGTGCGTTCTGGCTACTAGGTACGACATATATATATATATATATATATATATATATATATATATATATATATATATATATATATATATATATATATATATATATATATATATATATATATATATATATATATATATATAACGCACTTCTCGGCCTACTAGAGCTTGTGTGTGTTTGCTTTTTATCTAAATTAAAGTAAACATGAAAACAGTCAATTTTAATATAACTCGATCGAAACTAGATGAGTGGATAACCTATTTTATTAATGCCAAACGTTTACCGTCAAAGATGGTGGCGGCAAGAGCGTACACCCAGGCGGGCAGAGCAACGAACGAGACGAGGGTGGAGACGACGGTCATGGTGACGGAGAGGTCCAGAGAACCCCCCAGCAGGTAGGTCCAGAGGTTGGAGCTTCCTCCCCCGGGGCTGCACCCCACCACGAACAATCCTAGCCACAGCGCCGATGACTCGGGAAAGAGAGCGTACCCTAGGCCGTATGACACCTGTAATGAACACGACCTCTCACAAACACATCTTAGAAATTATAACAAATACGTTATAAAGCAAATTTATATGCTGGTATACCATTGTCGGGCGCACACCTGTTATCGTGGTCACCTCTAGCGCTGGTCAGACGCAGAGCTGGGAGACCAACTTACAAGGGGCATAAAGAGGTACTGCGATGCTAGACCAATAGCAGGCGCCACGGGCTTCTTGAGCGACTCTATAATTATGTTGATGTCAATGGCGCAGCCCATGTTGATGTAGGCAATGGAGACCATGGTAATAACCAACGCTGTGAAGATCTTGTCCAGCTTCTTATCCCGACGCTGGATCTATACGTAAGATAACACATTAGGATACGAAGACCAACACCGTTTCTATCTCAGGAACAGTTCTTCATTTTTACCTCACGTTATTCAAGGTGTACACAAGCAAAATATGACTATATCTAATGTGTGCCTTACCTTGACTGTGAACTGTTGACTATTAAACAGTGTACGACCCTCGCCAGTTACCACAGAGAAATGTATCTTTGTGAAACCTAAGAATGTCCCCGTCAGGTTGAAGGTGCCAATCAGACCACCGTCAACCGTCAGCCCGCGCTCCCCGGCCACTCCCCCGTCAACTGGGAGCACTGTCTCTCCATACCACACATCTACCCGCTCTGGCTTCACCTTCACGTGGCCAAATGCATCAGGACTAATCTCCTGCAATATCAGAAATAATAATGTTCTTCTTTAAGTGGCAAGGTTGTCATATACAGCACACGCTTCACTGCTCAGGGGATGCATTAGTATAAGGCCTAATATTTGTCCAAAATGATATAGATGTTGAAAGTAGCACAATTATTAAAACAAAAACATTCGTCCAGACAAAACTATTGTATTATGAAACGTGTAAATAAACATCCATCAGTTACATGCATTTTATTTCAGTGATATTTCATTGTCTGAATTCCACTTACATAAATAACACAGTTCACATGTCCATGTAATACTAGTAAAGAACACACACACACACACACAGGAAAGAGATGGTTGGGTTGACTGCATCTATCTGGACCTAAAAAAGGCTTTCGACAGAGTTCCACATAAGAGGTTGTTCTGGAAACTGGAAAATATTGGAGGGGTGACAGGTAAGCTTCTAACATGGATGAAAAATTTTCTGACTGATAGAAAAATGAGGGCAGTGATCAGAGGCAATGAATCGGACTGGAGAAATGTCACAAGTGGAGTACCACAGGGTTCAGTTCTTGCACCAGTGATGTTTATTGTGTACATAAATGATCTACCAGTTGGTATACAGAATTATATGAACATGTTTGCTGATGATGCTAAGATAATAGGAAGGATAAGAAACTTAGATGATTGTCATGCCCTTCAAGATGATCTGGACAAAATAAGTATATGGAGCACCACTTGGCAAATGGAATTTAATGTTAATAAATGCCATGTTATGGAATGTGGAATAGGAGAACATAGACCCCACACAACCTATATATTATATAAATAAATAAATAAATGTTTTTTCAGGTAAGGTACATACATACAAGAGATTTTACAAAAATTGATAGATTTATAGATAGAGCTAGTACATACAATGCCTAAAGCCACTATTACGCAAAGTGTTTCGGGCAGGAAAAACATTAAAGACTAAAACTTAATACTATTTGAGTTTAAAGTATAAAATGTGTTGAGAACAAATACAAAAAAATAAAAAAGGGGGGAAAATGGCTGAAAAAGCAGCACAAATACAATTAGGTCGACAAACAGCGTTGGTTAAAAAAACAGACATGGGTTGACATTATAGGGGTAAGGTAGGTTACAGGGAATTAATTAGGTAGTGTTTAGTTTTTATCTTAAACTGGTTGAGAGAGGTACAGTCTTTAACATGATTGGGAAGGTCATTCCACATTCTGGGTCCCTTGATTTGTAGAGCATTTCTAGTTTGATTAAGTCGTACTCTTGGAATATCTAAATTGTATTTGTTTCTGGTGTGGTGCTCATGGATCTGTTACAACCTTCAATGAAGCTTTTAAGGTCAGGATTGGCATTACAGTTCAGCGTTTTATATATGTAAAATACACATGAGAGAATGCGCAATGACTTAATGTCTAATATATTCAGAGATTTGAGTAGGGGTGCCGAGTGATGTCTGGGGCCAGAGTTGGATATTGTCCTAATAGCAGCTTTGTGTTGAGTAATTAGAGGACGTAAATAATTTTGGGTAGTAGAACCCCAAACACAAATACCATAGTTGAGATATGGATAGATGAGGGAGTAATAGAGCGTCACCAGGGCAGGGCGGGGTACATATCTGATCTTAGAAAGAATGCCAACAGTTTTTTAATCTTTTTTGATATATTTAGAATGTGTCCCTAGAAATTCAACTTCATAGAAAACTTAGAAAACAAGAAATTCATAGAAAACTATCACCTGAGGACCACATAAAGAATATTGTGCGAGGAGCCTATGCCACGCTTTCTAACTTCAGAATTGCTTTTAAATACATGGATGGCGATATACTAAAGAAATTGTTCACGACTTTTGTTAGGCCAAAGCTAGAATATGCAGCGGTTGTGTGGTTCCCATATCTTAAGAAGCACATCAACAAACTGGAAAAGGTGCAAAGACATGCTACTAAGTGGCTCCCAGAACTGAAGGGCAAGAGCTACGAGGAGAGGTTAGAGGCATTAAATATGCCAAAACTAGAAGACAGAAGAAAAAGAGGTGATATGATCACTACATACAAAATAGTAACAGGAATTGATAAAATCGACAGGGAAGATTTCCTGAGACTTGGAACTTTAAGAACAAGAGGTCATAGATTTAAACTAGCTTGGAGCCGGTCGGCCGAGCGGACAGCACGCTGTACTTGTGATCCTGTGGTCCTGGGTTCGATCCCAGGCGCCGACGAGAAACATTGGGCAGAGTTTCTTTCACCCTATGCCCCTGTTACCTAGCAGTAAAATAGGTACCTGGATGTTAGTCAGCTGTCACGGGCTGCTTCCTGGGGGTGGAGGCCTGGTCGAGGCCCGGGCCGCGGGGACACTAAAAAGCCCCGAAATCATCTCAAGATAACCTCAAGATAGCTAAACACATATGCCGAAGAAATATAAGAAAATTCACTTTCGCAAACAGAGTGGTAGACGGTTGGAACAAGTTAGGTGAGAAAGTGGTGGAGGCCAAGACCGTCAGTAGTTTCAAAGCGTTATAGGACAAAGAGTGCTGGGAAGACGGGACACCATTAATGTAGCTCTCATCCTGTAACTACATTTAGGTAATTACACACACACACACACACCTGCCCAGAGTAAGACCAGTATTCATGACACAGTGACACAGACAGAGAGGAAACACACCTGTATGAGGATGTATCGTGCTGGGGGAGGAAGGGCGGCGCCAAGGTGGAAGGTGACCAACACAGAGTCTCCATCCGTCAGGTCCAGCACCTCCACCTCCCTCCCGTCCACCTCCAGCTGCACCACCACCTCCACCACGCCTTCCTCACTACCACCCACGCCAGCCACCACGCCCACCACCACGCACGCCCACAGCGAACACGCCCACGACACCATAATCGACATCCACTCGTACTGTGGCAGGAAACCAGTGGAAATATAATAATTATAAATGGCACTCAGTCACCACCCTCACAGCAACACTCTGGAAAGCATCCAGAGTAGTAGCATCTTAGTAGCATCCCAAGTTCTTTCCCAAGAGGCAGACAAGAGGAGCTCCAGCATATTTCAACAATCCTAAGTATTGTGGTACAGGATGATAATAGTGAGTGGTGTCCCAGAGAACATAAAGGTATAGTGCTTTTGAAAAATAGGTGAGATAACAGGAATGTGCCAAGGGAAGTGAAAAATTGGATGAGAAAAAGTTGCCCTAGTGTTTCCACTGCAGAGAAGAACATTCAAGATGGCCGCCGGCAAGAGGAAATACAAAACAGAGTTTGATTTTGCTGGATTCAGTGAAGAAAGCATTGAGATTACCAGCCTATACAACAAGTTGGTAAAATTTGATAATATAGTGACCTCTCATGTAGAAACAATTAGTAAATTGAAAGAAAGTAATGACCATTTAAATAGCAAAGTTGTATTGGATAAGCAAAGCGCAAGGATAAGAATCAATAGGAAACAAATTGGAAAGCCATGGAAGAAGAAAATAAACTTAAAAATAGCTTTGGAAGAAGTTAAAGTAAATTTAAACATAAATGACTACAATAGGTTAGGTAAGGAAATTCAACAGGAGAAACAGCTTTGTCAGCGCAGATGGAGGAAATTACACATGGAAATAGAACAGTGCAAGAAAGATATGCAACTCACTTATGCACAAGTGGCCAAGGAGGACAAAATTGAAGAAGCAGTAAAGGAAGTCAAACACTGCAGCAACCAAGATAAAACAAACATTAGGCTGGAAGTGAGAAAGGAATTGGCATCTAACCCGAAGTTGGTGCAAAACACAGTTGATCAGAGTAAGTCCCTAATCATTTTTGGCTGCAAAGAAAAGGAGATAACATCTAGGTCAGAAAGAGCTGTAGAAGTAGCAAAAGTAGTAGATAAAATTGTTGGCCTCGTGGAAGGTCTTACAACCATAGAGAATGTGTGCGACTACAGGAGAATAGGCAGATATGTAAAAGGGAAAGATCGACCTTTGAAGATCACCCTAAATGGTGCCAAACAGATGGAAGAAGTACTAAGGATTGCTAGAAAATTACAAAGTGATGAGGATGGGAAAGTGTGGTCGTTAAGACGAGATCTTTCAAAAGAAGATAGAGAGAAGCTGAAACTGAACCTCGCCGAGGCAAAACATTTAAATGAGAGCAGGAATGAAGAAGAAATCAATTCTTTTTTCTACAAAGTGATAGGGGTAGGCAGACCAGTAAAGTGGTACATAAAGGCAAACCAACAAAATCATTAGAGAGAGGGGGAGTGAAAAATAAGAAGAGGGGGAACAAGTTCCTGAAGATTGCATACACCAACATAGATGGAGTGAGATCGAAGATACTGGAGTTAAGTGATGTAATACAGCTGCAGACACCAGACATTGTTGCACTCACGGAGACAAAACTTGAAGATGTTATTTTAAATGAGGTCATATTCCCAAGAGGCTATTCAATTTGGAGACGGGACAGAAAAATTAGGAAAGGCGGTGGCGTTGCTGTGCTGGTAAAAGAACACCTAAAGGTGAAGGAAATAATGACTGCCAATCCACAAGAAGTTGACATAATAGCACTAGAGATCTGCTATGAGGATGATAAACTAATGATCATAAATGCATATAGTCCACCGCCAAGCAGCACATGGTTAAAGGAGGAGCTAGATAGTAAACGAGATCTTATAACAATAATGAGAGAGATCATAGCGAGAGCGGATAACGATAGTTCACGACTGTTGATAGTCGGCGACTTCAACTTGAAATCCATAGACTGGGAAGCATGTGAAGCTAAAACAGAAGATTTTTGGACCTGTAAATTTGTAGACCTCATCCTGGAAACATTCTTGTATCATGTTAAACAAGTTACGAGGATGAGGGAAGGGGACGTTCCCTCCATGCTAGATTTGATATTTACCAGGAAGGAGGAAGAAATATTTGACATTCAGTACCTTCCTCCCTTGGGTAAAAGTGACCATGTCTTTTTGGGAATAAAGTATGCAATGCGTTATAATCTGGAAGAAAATATGAAGGTTGATGCAACTGAAAAACCTGACTTTAGGAGAGGACATTATGGCAACCTTAGAAATTTTTTTAGTGAGTATAATTGGACAGACTTGTTGCTAGGCAAGAAAGTGAATGAGATGTATGTCAAGTTTTGTGAAATATATGATAAAGGCACAAAAAAATGTATACCAAAACAGAGATGCAGAACTAGGAAACAGGATTGGTTCAAATGAGGATGAGAAAGTGTGGTCGTTAAGACGAGATCTTTCAAAAGAAGATAGAGAGAAGCTGAAACTGAACCTCGCCGAGACAAAACGTTTAAATGAGAAGAATGAGTTGGAACAAGTTAGGTGAGAAGGTGGTGGAGGCCAAGACCGTCAGTAGTTTCAAAGCGTTATATGACAAAGAGTGCTGGGAAGACGGGACACCACGAGCGTAGCTCTCATCCTGTAATTACACTTAGGTAATTACACACACACACACACCTAAGGCAGCCCGTAACAGCTTTCTAACTCCCAGGTACCTATTTACTGCTAGGTGAACAGGGGCATCAGCTTGAAAGAAACTCTGCAAAGTTGTTTGCGTGGTCTCCAGAAATCGATCCCCGGTCCATATGATTACGTATCCCGAGCGCTGTCCTCTCAGCCACCAGTGCCAGATGTGGGAGAGGGCTGAGAGGAGGAGTGGGAAGATGCTGGGGAAAAGGTGGAGAGAGGCGAAGAGAGGGAGAGAAGATGGAGAGATGAGGAAATGGAGGAGAGGGAAGTAGAAGGGTGAGAGGGGGAGGAGATTGGGAAAGAGGATGGAAAGGGAGAGATTGGGAGAGATGGTGGAGAGGGGAAGGGAGAGGAGAAGGGGAGTGGGGCAGCCAGCGCGAGATCTTTACCCTCCCTCCCATCTAGTAAAAGATATATCAACCACCAATCCCATATAGGAATGTGATATATGATTAATTCCTTACTAGTAGGGAGTCTCGTGTACACAGTGAGGGACGACACAGCACAAGTCAGCGCCCGCTCAAAAAGTCAGTAGTATCGCTGTTTTTAAAATGTCTGAGGTACATTGTGGAGGCAGAGTTGTGTCCGGCGGCCGCCTCTCTCCATTTGTATATGCTGAGTCAGCATATCTGAGCTCCTCCTCCGTCAGTGTCACAGTGGTGGAGGTGTCATCAACTCGCTCTCTCACAAATTACGTCGCTTTCCGCTCGTATGAGCACTAAGACTAAAAATTGTCGTACTAGAAAATGGAAGCGGGTCGCGAAAGTGACGTGCTGTTCCGTTTTCTGTTTTGGGTCCTCTGGCTTAGTCTGTTAAGTCAGGTGAGGACACTTTATATTAATGGTTTTCAAGATGTTTTGAAACCTTAGGAGAACTTGTTGCTCTCCTAACCGACCAGAAGACACAAAACTTGCTGCTTTGGATACATTTCATTTGGAAAATGATTTTCAATTTTTTTTTAAATCCAATACGGCGTTTTTTGACCGAAACGCAACGGGCGAAAAGCGACGTAATTTGTTAGAGGACGGGCTCGTCGATGCTGGTGTAGAGCAGGGGTGTACTGGTGGTGGTGGTGGTGTAGAGCAGGGGTGTGCTGGTGGTGGTGGTGTAGAGCAGGGGTGTACTGGTGGTGGTGTAGAGCAGGGGTGTACTGGTGGTGTTGTAGAGCAGGGGTGTACTGGTGGTGGTGTAGAGCAGGGGTGTACTGGTGGTGGTGGTGTAGAGCAGGGGTGTACTGGTGGTGGTGGTGTAGAGCAGGGGTGTACTGGTGGTGGTGGTGTAGAGCAGGGGTGTGCTGGTGGTGGTGGTGTAGAGCAGGGTGTACTGGTGGTGGTGTAGAGCAGGGTGTACTGGTGGTGGTGTAGAGCAGGGGTGTACTGGTGGTGGTGTAGAGCAGGGGTGTACTGGTGGTGGTGGTGTAGAGCAGGGGTGTGCTGGTGGTGGTGGTGTAGAGCAGGGGTGTACTGGTGGTGGTGGTGTAGAGCAGGGGTGTACTGGTGGTGGTGGTGTAGAGCAGGGGTGTACTGGTGGTGGTGGTGTAGAGCAGGGGTGTACTGGTGGTGGTGTAGAGCAGAGGTGTACTGGTGGTGGTGGTGTAGAGCAGGGGTGTACTGGTGGTGGTGGTGTAGAGCAGGGGTGTACTGGTGGTGGTGGTGTAGAGCAGGGGTGTACTGGTGGTGGTGGTGTAGAGCAGGGGTGTACTGGTGGTGGTGTAGAGCAGGGGTGTACTGGTGGTGGTGGTGTAGAGCAGGGGTGTACTGGTGGTGGTGGTGTAGAGCAGGGGTGTACTGGTGGTGGTGGTGTAGAGCAGGGGTGTACTGGTGGTGGTGGTGTAGAGCAGGGGTGTACTGGTGGTGGTGGTGTAGAGCAGGGGTGTACTGGTGGTGGTGGTGTAGAGCAGGGGTGTACTGGTGGTGGTGGTGTAGAGCAGGGGTGTACTGGTGGTGGTGGTGTAGAGCAGGGGTGTACTGGTGGTGGTGGTGTAGAGCAGGGGTGTACTGGTGGTGGTGGTGTAGAGCAGGGGTGTACTGGTGGTGGTGTAGAGCAGGGGTGTACTGGTGGTGGTGGTGTAGAGCAGGGGTGTACTGGTGGTGGTGTAGAGCAGGGGTGTACTGGTGGTGGTGGTGTAGAGCAGGGGTGTACTGGTGGTGGTGTAGAGCAGGGGTGTACTGGTGGTGGTGTAGAGCAGGGGTGTACTGGTGGTGGCGGAAAGGTGTAGTGTTCGTGGTTGATGAGATGGTTCTGTGTTGCAGTGTGCACAGCTGTTGTTGGTAAGGTACGTGGTACTGGCTGCCTGCTACAGGAGAGAAAAGCCGTGACGTGTACGTGGTTGGTGTGGTGTTGGTGTGGTGTTGGTGTGGTGTTGGTGTAGTGTTGGTGTAGTGTTGGTGTGGTGTTGGTGTGGTGTTGGTGTAGTGTTGGTGTGGTGTTGG